TGGAATGTATGCGAACGCGAGGGCTGATGAAAGATGAATGATGAATCATGAAGCAGTGGATTAACACGGGGCCTCCAGCGGTTGCGTCTCATCATTGCATGTGTATATATTTATCAATACTTACTACAGGTAATTAAGTCAAAACAAACATGTCATGGTACATGGTAGTGTTCTGTGCCCATAGGTACTTTCACAGTACCTGTAAACGGTTAATCTCGTGGCACTTTTAACATGCTAAGTTTACATGCACAACTTTAACGTGATAATTTACTGTCCTCTACCAATTATTTTGGGTAACTCATGGTATCCTTGGGCCAGTTGTTCAATGTTAGGTTACCGCTAACCTTGGCCTTGGGTTGAATTTTAGTTTAATTTTAGAAAATATTCATGAAAAAATATATATTTAACCCTATAAGTGGCTTTTAAACAACCGGTCCCTGGGTGTTTTATTCGAGGTGCGGTATCTGCATGGTCTCTATTGCTCGTATCTGGCATCTTATATAATTTATATCAACATAGATTCAGAAAACCACTTAATAACGTCACGCGAGAACGCAGTGATTCTAGAAAATATTTATAGTTAGTCGGACATTCCGCATGTCTTATGTCTGATAATTTCATGATAAGACGATATTACTAAGTCACTATTCTTCTATCAATTTGTGTCGCAATCTTAGTTCCACGGTACAATGCTACGGTACATAACAATACGAACCAAATCTACGAGTAATATTTCTGTCCTCTTCCAATTTAGCTGTTTTTGGTAAACAAAGTCAGAGCCGTATATATCAACAAATTATAATTGGATTCTCAACACTAACGACTAATGGTTCCGGCATATTAATTCCGCATCGTAGATTTGGTGCACCCTGAACGTGTTTATTTGGTTTTATAACCAAGGCGTAATGAAATACATGCATGCATGAAGAAAATGGGAAATTTGGCACAGCGTCAACGTACAGACAAAGCAATGGAATACGGCATACCTGTTCCAGAATCTGTTTCCGTATTCCTCCCCAGGATGATAATGAAAAAGTGGTTCAGCGACACCATAATAGAACAGTCCAATTCCAATACCAGCCGAGAACAACATGGTAAAGTACGATACGTCGCTGAATTCTGGTTCTTCGTCGTCTCTGCCGAGCTTCATGTTGCTATATTTTGAGAAATACACGATTATCAAGAAAAGGAACCACGCATCCTGTGTGATGATATAGAACCAAGTGAACGTTTCAGAGATCCAAGCTTTCCCTTTCCCCATTTCACGCGAAGCACGTTCTGTATCAACAATCGACCAGATCATTAGGCCCCAAATTATGACAGCAGAAATAATCGACACCACTGGATTTAAGTTGATTTGAAATGGACCGATCTTCCTTTTGAACGTTCGACATCGCGAAATGGCTTCACTCACTCTGTTCTCACTTTCCATCTCTCGCACAAGATCCCTCGCTATGAATGTACACCTAGTTAGTGCATCCAAGAGTGCCGCATTAACCCAATTGGTTGAAGCATCTTATACGCCGCGGACTCCGTTATACGCCGCGGACTCCGTTGAGGGGCCTGTGGCCGACAAAATTCACGTTGGGGAGGCCCGAAAAACGCTCAAAAAATAAAACAAGCAAAACCTCTAATGAGTAACAAACACTGAGGAAGTAGATAGAGCATTTTAACCTTTGATTTTATAGACTTCTGAATTGCGGTGGGGAAATAAGAGGTCAGCACTGAAAATACGCCACGGGTCACTTAAAACGTTGTGCCTGCCCTTCTTAACGATTTTAATAGGGCTAAGGATAAACAACAGAAGGTCTTCACAATATCTCGTCAACGCCTCGTTGCATTGCCTTGTAATTGTTTTAATGCACAACCTGTTGAGACCTGAGATGCATGGGACTCAATGGGTGTAACGAATAATTCGGTATAAACGAAAGATAAGTATAGACTGCATGGCGTTGCCCAATGAAAGGTATATAGTACGCGCGATAAGAAACTAGAGGTGTCTGCAGCGTTTCTGGCAAAATCCCTTGTGTGGAACTCAGTTCAAAAAGCGGAAAAAAATTACCGCATCATAAAAAGGTTAGGGGGAATTTGATAGCACCATAAGTGGATGTTATCCAAAGAATGTATGATGTCCATTGAGTGGATTGACCGTTATAAAAATCAGTCTGTTGTATAGATATCGCCGTAGAAATGCAACCAATGAGTTTTACAAATAACACAATCGTTTAGCGGGGGCTGCAGTCGATATATATATATATTTTTTTTCTCTTTATCACCAAACACTATAAAATTGTTGTGCTGTATACAGCTGTTTTGCTTCAGTCTTGGAAATAATAGATATAGAATGCGTACTTATCACGAATAAGTGTCCCACATTTTTTTATGCTGTGCCCTTATCACAGAGAAGCACTCGCGAGGAGTGAGCAATTTTCAAAAAAAAACTCTCATTCAAAACTTAAATTTTGGGTAAAGGCATATTTTACAATTAACTATTAGCACACAGAGGGAAAAAATGCCAAACTTGGCTTTCGTGGCTTTTTGTGTTTTTTACAACCGTGTGTTTAGCTACTTAAATTGTTATAGTTGGCTTGAACTTGCACTTATAGTTTTAATTTCTCCCATATGACCTTGCTTTGATATTTTATGTAACTTCGTAATGATGAAACGATAAATGGTTAAAAACCTTTTTCCTTTCTACGAAAAACATATCACTATGAATAGATTTTTAACAGGTTCCCACGTAAAAACGAGCGATTTCTGCATAAATAGTTGAAGCCGCGTGGGAAGAGATATTACTAAAACATCATTTAGCGTACCTCCATACCAGAGGCAGAGGGGATCAAGTGTTAATTATGTACTCCACACTCTAAAAGTTACTGCCTTGTCTTTGTGTAGGTAATTTTCACTTTTCACATGCACAATAAATACTGCGTTATAATGTCGACGGCGAAGCATACAGGATTCCAGTTTTTCCTTGAAACAAGATTAATCGAAAGCTAGGAACAGCTATCAGACTCCATCAGTCATTCATGAAACTATGTAGTCAAAATCAATTAATGCTCCGTGCGTGACAAAAACAAAAACAAGCTTTTCTCTCAAACTCGCAATACAATACAATACAATAAATTTTATTTAAACACGATACAAATTAAAGCAAAGCTTGTGGGGTCGTGTGTTTACCTATTACATACAAAGACAAAAGAGACTATTATACACTATTATATACTATTATATACACATATCAATAATATCTGAAACAGTCATCTCGCCTACGTGTGGTTTGCACAGATTGCATTTCAGAATTTATAAACTTTAGTATGTCTTTTTCCTTGATCATCTTAATAAAGGTGGTAATATTTGGTTCAGGATCATTAAATTCCATGGATATCGCATTCCATATGACAGAGCTCCTGTAGGAAATTGAGTTCTTCATATAGTATGTGTTAAATCGCGGCACATTAACCTTGTGTGCGTTACGTAAACTATACTTATTTGTTGTTTTTGTAATTATGAGAGTCATGCTAGCAGGAGTAATATTGTTATATATCTTATAGGCTAGTTGTGCCAATCTTAACTTATAGATTTGAGTAAGTGAATCCCATTTCACCTTCTCCATGACCTCAATGGTAGGCATATCACATGATAGTCGAAATATGGTTCTTGCAGCTCTACAATGTAGGGATTCGAGGGAAAGAAACCCCTCTTTATTGGCACAGCCACCCCAAACTGTCATCGCGTATGTTATAGACGGTAGGATAATCTTAAAGTACAGATCTAGGAATTTGCTTTGGTAAAAATAGGCTGCATTTTATCATATTCAGCTTGTTTGCAAATCCTTTTTTTATTTCCAGTATGTGTAATTTCCATGTTAATTTATCATCGATCGTAACTCCCAGCAACCTTGAGTGAGTCACCCACTTTATTTCATGTGCTCCAAGCGTGAGTGTATTTAATGGGCCTATCACGTTTCCCCTGGTCATTATCATAGCTTCACACTTCCTCGGATGGGGTGTTAAGGAATTTTGTTGGCACCAGTTCATCAGCTGACTGAGAGCTTTATTGAGCATTGAAGTTACTTCATCAATCGTCTGAGCGATGCAGTACAATGTTGTATCGTCTGCATACATAAAAACGGTACCATGGTCCACAGCATCGGGTAAATCGTTCGTATACAGAGTGAATAGGGTCGGTCCAAGGACTGATCCCTGAGGAATACCATAAGTTACTTCTGCGTAGTCTGATTTGCTTCTATTAACAGTGGTAAATTGTTTTCTCTCAGTGAGGTAGTCTTTTAACCAGGCCAAGAGTTCCCCTTTAATACCAAAATTATGTTCCAATTTATGTATCAAAATCTTATGTGATATGCTGTCGAATGCTTTCTGAAAGTCAATGAACACGACTCCTACTACTAACTTGGAATCAATTGCTCGCTCGTCGCGACCGCGCACAAAAAACTCCTAGCTGGAGTCTGAAAACGAGGAAAAATGCCCTTATAAATCTGCTATCTTTGGAGACGGAAGAGGTATTAGTCAGGGATCACTTATCAGTACGCATTCTATGTCTATTCTTTCTATGGCTTCAGTTTACGAGGGCGCATCAGCATAGTGAAGCCCGTGATAATTTTCACTTCAAAATCTATATAAATAACCAAACGCAACCCAAAGAATTGTCTGCCCCAAACATCTACTTTTTATAGGAACGCAATCAGCGGTTGTTCAAGCGATGCGCCGAAGGCAAAGTAACGGTGGAATACAGCAGACTTTAATAAGTTGAAAAAGTCTTTTGGACTTTCAATCTTTCAACGTCAAACGACATGCGATCATCGAGCTCATCGCAGTTTAATTTAACCCACAATTAAGAAACTCTAAACGAACTGACCTTATACATGCATATATATAGGCCTGGCTATCGCACTATATGAACGAACTTAATATATAAATTCACCCGCGGCACATGTCCGACAGAAATGTCAAAAATGTCCGACAAACTTGTTTCTCTCTACACACACATTTTATAAGCATTCTAATTTCTAATGACTCAAGTTTCCTCTTTTAATCGAAATGATTCGTGTGATCAATCGGTTTTTGGCAACGCGGTCTTGTTTTCAAGTAATTGAATAATATGTTACATACACTTATCTGATGATAGCGACTTCCATATATAGGACGATATGTGATTTGTAAAAAAGTAATTAAAAAATTCCTTAGTTTCGCATAATCACATTTTATATCAGTTAGCTTTCGTCGCATCGTCCTAACTTTGATTAATATAATTTTCCGCTTTCTAGCTCCCTTCCCGAATTGACCAAAATATTGAATTCCTTTGAAACAGGATTTGGTCATTTACAGTTTAAAGCGCCGACTACACGGGCGATTTTTGGCGGCGATTTTCTTCTGTTGGTGTATGCTTTATTTCGCCCAACTTATACACTGCGTGTCTGCGTACATAATTCACACAAAACATACGCTAGAAGGAGAAAATCGTCGACGAAAATGGCCCGTGTAGCCGCGGCTTAAGGCTGTTTGCCATCCGATAGAAACAAGCTATTTTAGAAATATATTTTAAATTTTATACTACATCAGCCACTTTGACGTGTTCACGACATTGTTTTGATTATTGTAAGTGTTTTTATTTGAAACGGATTTTCAATTTTGGGCGTGACGGAATTTGTTAGAATTTTGAAAACGATCCAACTGTTGCCAATGTTATCTTCCCATCATGCAACTCCTTCGTGTGAGACATTTCCTCTCCTGCATTTAAGTATAGTTTTAAATGCGCTGAGAAATCTCGGTGATCGAAATGCGTAGCAGAAGAAGTTGACGCTCGAGTTAGCTAACACAAACAGATGCTGTAAATCTTTGAACCAATGGAGAGTTTCGCAGCTGCATGATTTGCAAAATCCCAATGCATAAATGAGCACGGTTGAAGGGACGTAGCAGCATAACAAAGCCAAGAGTACAATTAAAAACATTTTTGTTATCCTCTGTTCCAGTTGCTCTGCGTTTTCTCTACGTGTGTTTGCGTTTCTTCTTGATAGCGTGTCTTCATTTTGATCGTTGGGTTGCCGGTGATTATCGTCTTCCGCCGGATGTTCCTCGCTATTTCTTGAGCGCTTTTTAAAAGCCCTCAGAAAAAGGCCGTAAGTGAAGCAACATATGAAGACTGCAACTGCAACTGCAGAGTTGGCAAATATGAAAGCGTATGCAATAAACCCAACACTTAAGTAAATCCACGGTAGGCTAAGGGAGAAAAGCCAAATACCGGCGATTGTGAGTAGGATCCTTTTTCCGGTGCATTTGCTCCTGTAGTTATGCGGGTCTCTGATAGCGAGGTATCGTTCTACAGCTACTGCAGCAAGACTGAGGACCGACGCTGTACAGGAGATGAAATAGGACAGATGATTTATCTGATAGTCCAGTTCGGTTACCTCTGAATCCGTAACTTCTTTCCAGTGAATATAAACTGAAATCGGGTCACATATTAAACCCACAATAAGATCCGCCAAGGCCAGGTTACACATGAAGTAGTTAAAGGGGGTACGAAGATTCCTTTGGGGATCTTTAGCGACAACAATGATCACTAGAGTATTTCCCGGGATGTTGAGTAGTGTGAAAAAAAATGAAAACGATAAAGTAAGGAATGATAGTTCTTTTGGTGGTCCTGTGTCCCAACAACGATTATCAAATTCTGCTTGCAATGATTGAAGTGACATATTTCAGTCCTAAAAAAATTATATGAAAAGAACTTTATTCAGCCCAAGATCAGAAAGTCTTTATGCAGTTTAAAATACTTTTTTTCAAGGATATAGGGTTAGAGTTAGGTTGAAGTAGGCGGTGTTAGAGAACTGATATTAATTTAGGTAAGCGTCAATTTGGTAGGATTCGGATTGTTATCAATTTTTTGCATGAAAATTGACGTTCGGGAGGGATCGGGATTATCGTTTGTGCATGACTTAGCTTCTCAATATAAGATCGAGAGAATTTTCTGATAGCTGAAGAGTTTCAAAAATTTTGATACATCTATTCTATAATTTTTCAATGTATATTATTATGACTACTTCGTATGCCAATACTGATTAGTCCTGACCTTGCCGGCAATTTAAACATAAAGGTTTTCGACCAGTTATGCCAGAGACAATTAGTTGCTATCGCGCGAAAAAAAACATGCACCTGGTGAAATTATTAATGGTATGGACAATAAATACTTTGCCAGCCAATGGGTCTATAAATAAGCATAACACGTCCAGTAGCGTAGCCAGCCTGTCGATTTGTCCCGCTATGCTAATATTTTCGTGTTCACTGACTGTGAAAACAATAGATTTCTAAAGACATGAATAATTATAATAACTCGAAATTTACATAGCGGGACAAAATCGTCAGGCTGGCTACGCCACTGAACACGTCAACTGTTTTGCGGTCAGATTTTAATCTTTAATGTAGTGCAGCAAATATTTTGCTGCTGCTAATCTTCAATATTATCTCTGATTCTCTAGTTTCATAGAAAGCCAAGTTGCCCGAAACGAGTCCGATAAAATAAGCATTCGCCACCAGCCGTTGTCCGGTCGGCGATAAGTGTAAAACTAACCAAGCCTATGCATTGTTTCCTGAAAGATGACTCTGTATCATCTATCATATATCATGTACCGATATGATTTTTGTCCTCCGTATGGAACCGGCACTCGTGCTGAAATTATAAAACTGTGCTTTTACTCAATCTTAGCTAGATATTTAATGAATTTATTGTCTCCAAGAGACTGATTGTTTTAATCTAAAGTTATATTGGCTTTGAAATTCGTTGTCCGCATTTTAAGAAGTGAAATGAACGTTAACGTAACCGTAACCTTTTCGAGGTAAAAAGCTATGGGGCTAGAGTGCTCCAATAGAGTGCTTATATTATAAATTGCTTACCTGGTCGTACTTGATCTCTAAGCAATCTATATAGCTAGTTAAGAATATATATGAAAATACACGTACAAAAGGGCGCCGGAATGATAAGTGGCCAAAGATATTATTGGAAATCATATCACCCTACGGCTTACACCCAAGCCAAGCTTCTATAGTTCAATTAAGCACACGCTACATAGCTAGATATACATTTGCTGCATCTGATCGCTGAAAGTTCTTATTTATGACTTGGTTTGAAAGATTTAATTTTTACATTATATAGGTAGACTTCTAGCTCTATGAATAAATAAAGAATATGAAATAAGAATCACATGCACACTTACCGGTTTTTACAAAATGTGCGGCTACATCGATAATCTTTATAACATCCCTAAGAATGTACGTGCTGAGCTGTTCAAAAGGTTCTTCCTCAAAATTTTAATTAGAAAATCTAATTTTTCAGTTCCTCATACATGCATTTGACACTTATTATATAGATCTAGCTCTTGCACCTGCTGCAAAGGTAAACAAATATATGGAATTATGATAGCCTATAAGTCAATGAATGAGGTTCTTATTATGTCCGTTGTTCACTCTTTTTTATTCGACAAGTTAAAATATTATGTATCCAAGCAACAGTTCAGTTCATATAAAAAACTCAAGTTGATCTGGCAGTCGACTAAACCTTTGCAGTTTTTAGTGCTGTTTAATTAAATACAAAAATCATGCAGTGCTATTATTATTTACATTTATATTGCGCGAGGTTCCATAGGAAGATGCTCAGTACGTGTATGATGCAGGAGAACTGAAATAGCAGATTAGCACTACGTGCCGTACCGTAGCTCTTCTCAATGGGACAAAATATAACAATGATATAAACTGAGGTGGCATCAACAAGGCGCCACAATAAAGAAGGTCAGATAAATAATTTATCACATTGGATCTTTACAATTACTAACATCACGTCGCCATGACGACACTGATCAAATACAATATCCAGCCTTAAAAAAATCAGAACGACATGACTTTATTTTGTTTGACTTCTCTCAATGGAATAAAGTATTTTTTTATATTTTGCTACTATTACTGTTGGAAAATACAATTGACCACTGCAATAGACCCTTTCACAACATTATCGTTTTACAAGTTTTACTCAATACAAAACATCCTTGTTCAACACATGCACTTTGCCAATAAATGTGGAAATAAGACGTATCACTAAAACAAGGCTACCAGGCCACAATGCATGGGAGCCCCTTTTTTCAAGTAATAGCTTATTTCCAATCTTATTTATCAAAACGAAAAGTTTTTTTTCATGGATGTGTTGGAGAAGGATGTTTTGCATCTTCACACGTGGTTTGTGAGAGTAAAACTTGAGATTCATTTCATTTAAGGTGGTTCTAAATTTAAAACGATAATGTTGTGACGTAATTATCGAAAGGGTGCATTGGTAGATACCACTGACGTAATTTTGACGTTTTGCGGTACAAAAGTTATTAGTTAAAAAGTAGTTATTTTGAAAAATACTTGATGCTGATTTGTCAATCCTGTCATAAATTGATAGTTACAAGTTAGAACACGCTCAACTACCTTTAATTTATACAACTGATCCAAACAGGATCTGGCGTAACTTTTTTGACTAAATACATGTATGTTCAAGTCAGGAAGATGCTTTCCGTTCGCAAATACACAGCGCGGACTCTTTATACCCGCGTAGATTTATTCAGTGGGAAATATTTTAACTGGGGTCTGGGTAAACTGGCTTGTATTTGGACACGTCCAAATGACAACCCAAACAGGAACGAACAAAAAGAAAGATCATTTGGAATCCTTTTTTCCGCAATGTGGCGCGATTTGTTCTCAGCGCTTATATCAAACATGTAATAGTGTCTAATATGCTGCGGAAACACATTATCATAATTTTATTTAGTCTGTGTACAAAAATAATTTTGTGGATCTATTGCCAGACAGGCAAGCTAATTTGATTTCAGCTAATTTCGGTGCCGTTCATATAATTGTTTACGAATTATTTAACAGAAAGCTCGGCATTGCATGATTCAAGCGGGCGACGTTTGGCCTTTGTAATCAATTAGTAGTGGTCACCGTCACACTAACACCACTCCCTTGTTCGATTGGATTGAAATAACTTAATTTTCCCCGTAATTAATCCATACTCAAATTACATAATAATTGATATCCGTCAGTCTCCAACATATATTCCTTTTAAAGTAGGCAAAACATATTTTATATTTATTTCCAAATCCCCTTAAACAATTTCTAGTTTTGTTGAGATTCGTTCTCTTTATCTATGAAAACTTCTTGTAGATCAACGGATCCTGCTCCTGGATCATCTTTCTTACTTTTCCCCTTGATAAGCATGTGCCGATACATTTGATCCACGGCTAAGGGGTAAAAAACTGATACGAGAATTGCATCTTCGATGGTGCTAGATTTTATTTCAAAATGCTCACGTATAGCAAGCCTGATTGAAGCTAGGTAGACAAAGAAAAAGATGAGAACAACCCAGCCGACATACGCCAGGCCAGGTTCAACAACTTGTAGGATTTCCAATAACACCCAGCCGTAAAACAGCGATGCCATGACAACCATATAGCGCACGGGGCTTTTCATGTAAAGCATTCCTGCTGCATGGCCAGCAGGCCACCAGGGTGCCACGATCCAGATCAGAATATCCAAGACTCGTCGCCAGGATGGTTTGTCAAATACCGAAATGAGACTGGAAGAAAATGTGTTCCTGTGGTGGTCGTAGTCCCCAGCCTCCATTTGCATTGTTCGCCAAAGTGACAAGCACATTAGATTGAGTACGACGGCATAGAGCAGGCCAAGTGCAATAGCGAATGACTGAAGAGCATCGATCGCTTTAGTTCCACCTGCTTTCAATAGCGTCGTAGTACAAGCTCCTTCGGTGAACGCCCAGAAGACGCGCTGAATCACGGGCGGATTGGGGTTTCCGTTTGCTGTAAGACAATCAATTACGAGCGAACCACTGTCGGAACTTGTTACAAAATACAACACAGCACTGATTAGGGAAACGACTTTTAAGAAGCCTCCAAGGTTGTTTCCATACTGTTGGATAACGTCAAAATACATTTGGCTTTCGGTTCGACAGGACAGGCGAAACAACCTGTTGAGTGGTTCTGTTGCGTTTGTTCCTCCTAATTCCGAGCTGCAGTTTATGCCAGCGATGGCCGCATCACGCTCCATTTTCAAACCGGCTCCACCAAAAATGGTAAACCAAATGAATATATAAAGGATTGGTGCTGTAAGAGTGGCGTTGATAAAATTCCTCACAGTTCGACCGCGAGATATTTTTGCAATGAACATTCCAACGAAAGGCGACCATGTAATCCACCATCCCCAGGAGAAAACTGTCCAATCAGCCATCCAATTAGGCGCCTGCTTCCCATCCGGGGCATTAGCAAGTTGCGCAAAGGCATCCGTGTGGAATGCATATTGCACTAAATATTGGAAATAGTACCCTATGCTTTGAACATACAAATTGAGGAAAAACCAGGTGTTGTCATGAAAGAAGACGAACAGCATTAGAAATATTCCAAGTCCAAAGCAAACTTCACTAAGTCGACGAATTCCGACTTTGAGACCGGAAACGACCGATATCGTAGCAAGACACGTGACGGCCCAAATGATGATTATTTGATTATTTGTTGTTTCCTCAACGCCACTGTGCATGCGATTCAAACCAGAATTCAATGTTAAGACACCAATCCCAAGGCTTGTCGCAATACCGAACATGGTTGACACGACAGAAATTATGTCAATGATATCGCCAACAACTCCGAAAATTCTGTCGCCAAGTAGAGGGTAAAAACACGATCGAATGGCCATCGGGAGACCTTTTCTATACGCTATGAAAGCCATGAGGAGTCCAACCAAGGTGTAGACAATCCATCCGTGAATTCCCCAATGAAAAAATGTGATATTTATGGCATCTTGAGCTCTCTGGTTATCCGTGTACCTGTACAAGTAGATTACAATATTATCATGGTATTTTGGCATTTACCAGTAAATATTACATTATGCCATCCTTTTGCCCAGCGCCTTCCTCGTATTCACCGCTATAGAACGGTGAATATTAATTCTGTATGCTCTGTGCTCATAGGTCCTTTCACATTACCTGGAACGTTAACCTCGTGACACTTGTAACATGATAAGTTGACATGCACAATTTTAACGTTATAATTTACTGTCCTCTGCCAGAGATTTTGGTGCGTCTGACTGAGTGCGTCGTGAGTGGGCGGATATCAGATCTCACCGATTTATGTAATCGTTTCCGAATCGATCGGTCTCAGTGTTATCGTATTGACAAGACAATCGTTTGTGTTTTCTAAAGATTTTACGTGTGGAGTGTGCACGCTATATAAACGTAACCGCAGGCTCAACAAAATGTTTGCAGATACAAATGGTGGTTTCGAATATCCCCTGCATGCCTAAATACCTCCAGCTTTTCTGCGTTTGTCGCATGTTTTTTGACACTTTAACCCTGCAAGATCCGGTCTGGGTCTTGTTTCTTTTGTTGATTGCAAACGGGAATTTCAAAGACGTAAAAAAGGCAAATAGATAGCGTGGCACATCATATTACAAAATAAAGGTTCATTGCGTAAATAGAAAAGTCTGACAAATACACAACCAAATTTTAAATCTATATTTCGATTTAAATCTGAATTATCTTCAGGAGATGAGAAATCTTGTAAAATCTTATCTCCTGAAGAAAGTATTTGATTTATGCAATGAATATATTCAGAATCAGTCAATAAACTTTAATTTATACTTGCTGAAATTATCAGCTAAAAAACGGCTACATCACATTACATCTCAGTTAATAGATAATACATGGTTTGGAGACTAAATAAAAGCACAATACAACTCATTAACTATGTAATTGTCCAGGTTTATGCAAAAATGGTTCCTTTCTCGTCACGTGTCTATTGTATTTTAGCCAAACGTACCAACGGCATTCGTCTTGCTAAGCTCTTCAACCTTGACTTGAAAAATATGTTAATTATAAGATTGCTATCGGTTTATCTGTGCAAATACAATAGATATGTGATGAGAAAGGAATAATTTTTTGCATAAATCTACCTCAACATAGTTAATGAGCTGTATTGTAGTTTTATGTGGTCTACAAACCATGTATTTTCTATTAACCGTGATTACATTAAGAAAGTGGTAAATTCAGTCTATTGTCGGTGGAACCGCTGTGGTGGAACAGCATGCGAACGCGAGGGCTGATGAAAGATGAATGATGAATCATGAAGCAGTGGATTAAAACGGGGCCTCCAGCGGTTGCGTCTCGTCATTGCATTTGTATATATTTATCAATACTACAGGTAATTAAGTCAAAATAATTATGTCATGGTACATGGTAGTGTTCTGTGCCCATAGGTACTTTCACAGTACCTGTAAACGGTTAATCTCGTGGCACTTTTAACATGATAAGTTGACATGCACAACTTTAACGTGATAATTTACTGTCCTCTACCAATTATTTTGGGTAACTCATGGTATCCTTGGGCCAGTTGTTCAATGTTAGGTTACCCCTAACCTTGGCCTTGGGTTAAATTTTAGTTTAATTTTAGAAAATATTTATGAAAAAAGATATATTTAACCCTATAAGTGGCTTTTAAACAACCGGTCCCTGGGTGTTTTATTCGAGGTGCGGTGTCTGCATGGTCTCTATTGCTCGTATCTGGCATCTTATATAATTTATATCAACATAGATTCAGAAAACAACTTAATAACGTCACGCGAGAACGCAGTGATTCTAGAAAATATTTATAGTTAGTCGGACATTCCGCATGTCTTATGTCTGATAATTTCATGATAAGACGATATTACTAAGTCACTATTCTTCTATCAATTTGTGTCGCAATCTTAGTTCCACGGTACAATGCTACGGTACATAACATTACGAACCAAATCTACGAGTAATATTTCTGTCCTCTTCCAATTTAGCTGTTTTTGGTAAACAAAGTCAGAGCCGTATATATCAACAAATTATAATTGGATTCTCAACACTAACGACTAATGGTTCCGGCATATTAATTCCGCATCGTAGATTTGGTTCATCCTGAACGTGTTTATTTGGTTTTATAACCAAGGCGTAATTAAATGCAAGCATGAAGAAAATGGGAAATTTGGCACAGCGTCAACATACAGACAAAGCAATGGAATACGGCATACCTGTTCCAGAATCTGTTTCCGTATTCCTCCCCAGGATGATAATGAAAAAGTGGTTCAGCGACACCATAATAGAACAATCCAATTCCAATACCAGCCGAAAACAACATGGTAAAGTACGATACGTCGCTGAATTCTGGTTCTTCGTCGTCTCTGCCGAGCTTCATGTTGCCATATTTTGAGAAATACACAATTATCAAGAAAAGGAACCACGCATCCTGTGTGATGATATAGAACCAAGTGAACGTTTCAGAGATCCAAGCTTTCCCTTTCCCCATTTCACGCGAAGCACGTTCTGTATCAACAATCGACCAGATCATTAGGCCCCAAATTATTACAGCAGAAATAATCGACACCACTGGATTTAAGTTGATTTGAAATGGACCGATCTTTCTTTTGAACGTTCGACATCGCGAAATAGCTTCACTCACTCTGTTCTCACCTTCCATCTCTCGCACAAGATCCCTCGCTATGAATGTACACCTAGTTATTAATGCATCTAAGAGTGCCGCATTAACCCCATTGGTTGAAGCAACTTATACGCCGAGGACTCCGTTATACGCCGCGGACTCTGTTGAGGGGCCTGTGGCCGACAAGGCCGACAAAATTCACGTTGGGGAGGCCCAAAAAACGCTCGATCTACTTAACGATTTTAATAGAGCTAAGGATAAACAACAGAAGGTCTTCACAATATCTCGTCAACGCCTCGTTGCATTGCCTTGTAATTGTTGTAATGCACAACCTGAGACAACCGACATCATTGAGACTTCAGATGCGTGGGACTAAATGGGTGTAACGTATAATTCGGAATAAACGAAAGATAAGTATAGACTGCATGGCGTTGCCCAATGAAAGGTATAGTACGCATGTGGAACTCAAAAAATTCAAAAAGCGAAATCATAAAAAGCGCGTCATAAAAAGAGTAGGGGGAATTTGATAGCACCGTAAGTGGATGTTATCCAAAGAATGTATGATGTCCATTGAGTGCCGGATTGCCGGACCGTTGCCGGATAAAAATCAGTCTGTTGTATAGATATCGCTGTAGAAATACAACCAATGAGTTTTCCAAATAAGACAATCGTTTAGCGGGGGCTGCAGTCAATATATATATATATATATATATATATACATATATATATATATAATATATATTATATTATATATATATATATATATATATATATATATAAATATATATATATATATGTATATATATATATATATATATATATATATATATATATATATATATATATATATATATATATATATATATACCGCCTCCTAGGGTCCCAAGGCCTAGGCACTCGTAATGAGTGAGCTGGTGAGGGAAAGGGACAAATTTACATTCTTAGGTTTGAATATGCCCGTCAAGGGTAAGTATGGTAAACACGGAGAACATTTTTGCCTATATTATTACTTGTGTTGCAACTCCAAATTTACTTTGGAGCAAATCATGTTCAATATATATATATATATATGTATATATATATATATATAATATATATATAATATATATATATATATATAATATATATATATATATATATATATATATATAATATATATATATATATATATAAATATATTATATATATATATATATATACACATAATTTTATGACAGGCGCCAGTTGTTCAAAGCTGAGTTAGCGCTAACCCTAGGTGTAAAATCTTACTCCGCTGTTTTGGTTTATATGCCCCTGCACCGCTGTTTGTCTCAAGACTTTACAAAATAAGACTTCTATTAATCGACAAAATATTTATGAAAAAATATGTTCAACTTCATAAACAAGCAATTAAAAAATTGAATAAAACTGATTTTAAATTAACCCTGGGTTAAGCTAGCCGGTTTTTGAACAACCGGCCGCAGCAGACTTTAATAAGTTGAAAAAGTCTTTTGAACTTTCAATCTTTCAACGTCAAACGACATGCGATCATCGAGCTCATCACAGTTTAATTTAACCCACAATTAAGAAACTCTAAACGAATTGACCTTATACATGCATATATAGGCCTCGCTATAGCACTATATGAACAAACTTAATATATACATTCACTCGGCACATACTAGAAAAATCCGACAAACTTGCTTCTCTGTACACAAACATGTTATAAGCATTCTAATTTCTATTAAATAATTCGTGTGATCAATTGGTTGTTGGCAACGCGGTCTTGTTTTCAAGTAATTGAAAAGTATGTTACATAGACTTATTTGATGATAGCAACTTCCATAAATAGGACAATATGTGATTTGCAAAAAAGTAATTAAAAAATTCCTTAGTTTCGCATAATCACATTTTATATCAGTTAGCTTTCATTGCATCGTCCTAATTTTAAAAAAATAATGTTCCGCTTTCTAGCTCCCTTCCCGAAATGACCAAAATATTGAATTCCTTTGAAACAGGACTTAGTCATTTACAGTTTAAGGCCCCGACTACACGGGCGATTTTTGGCGGCGATTTTCTTCTCTTGCATGGTGTATGCTATATTAAGTAAAATTAACAGAGTAGGTTACTTTATTTCGCATAATTCGCATTGTACATAATTCACACAAAACATACGCTAGAAGGAGAAAATCGTCCGTGTAGCCGCGGCTTAAGGCTGTTTGCCATCCGATAGAAACAAGCCATTTTAGAAATATATTTTAAATTTTATACTACATCAGCCACTTTGACGTGTTCACGACATTGTTTTGATTATTGTAAGTGTTTCTATTTGGAACGGGTTTTCAATGTTGGGCGTGACGGAATTTGTTAGAATTTTGAAAACGATCCAACTGTTGTCAATGTCATCTTCCCATCATGCAACTCCTTCGTGCGAGACATTTTCTCTCCTGCATTTAAGCATAGTTTTAAATGCGCTGACAAATCTCGGTGATCTAAATGCGTAGCAGAAGAAGTTGACGCTTGAGTTAGCTAGCACAAACAGATGCTGTAAATCTTTGAACCAATGGAGAGTTTCGCAGCTGCATGATTTGCAAAATCCCAATGCATAAATGAGCACAGTTGAAGGGACGTAGCAGCATAATAAAGCCAAGAGTACAACTAAAAACATTTTTGTTATTCTCTGTTCCAGTTGCTCTGCCTTTTCTCTACGTGTGTTTGCGTTTCTTCTTGATAGCGTGTCTTCATTTTGATCGTTGGGTTGTCGGTGATTATCGTCTTCCGCCGGATGTTGTTTCTCGCTATTTCTTGAGCGCTTTTTAAAAGCCCTCAGAAAAAGGCCGTAAGTGAAGCAACTTATGAAGACTGCAACTGCAACCGCAGAGTTGGCAAATATAAAAGCGTATGCAATAAACCCGGCATTTAAGTAAATCCACGGTAGGCTAAGGGAGAAAAGCCAAATACCGGCGATTGTGAGTAGGATTCTTTTTTCGGTGCATTTGCTCCTGTAGTTATGCGGGTCTCTGATAGCGAGGTATCGTTCCATAGCAACTGCAGCAAGACTGAGGACCGATGCTGTACAGGAGATGAAATAGGACAGGTGATTTACCTGATAGTCCAGTTCGGTTACCTCTGAATCCGTAACTTCTTTCCAGTGAATATAAACTGAAATCGGGTCACATATTAAACCCACAATAAGATCCGCCAAGGCCAGGTTACACATTAAGTAGTTAAAGGGGGTACGAAGATTCCTATGGGGATCCTTAGCGACAACAATGATCACTAGAGTATTTCCCGGGATGTTGAGTAGTGTGAAAAAAAATGAAAACGATAAAGTAAGAAATGATAGTTCTTTTGGTGGTCCTGTGTCCCAACAACGATTATCGAATTCTGCTTGCAATGATTGAAGTGACATATTTCAGTCCTAAAAAAAATATATTAAAAGAACTTTATTCAGATCAAAAAGTCTTTATGCATTTCAAAATACTTTTTTTCAGGATATAAGGTAGGTTAGAATTAGGTTGAAGTAGGCGGTGTTGAACTGATATAGGTACGGGTCGATTTGGTATAGGCTTCGGATTGTTATCAATTTTTTGCACGAAAACTTGACGTTCGGGAGGGATCGGGATTCTCGTCTGTGCATGACTTAGCTTCTCAATATGAGATCGAGAGAATTCTCTGATAGCTGAAGAGTTTCAACAATTTTGATGCATCTATTGTATATAATTTTTCAATGTATATTATTATGCATGACTATACTTCGTATGCCAATAATTGCATGGTCCTGACCTTGCCAGCAATTTGAAGATAAGGGTTTTCGACCAGTTATGCCAGAGACAATTAGTTGCTATCGCGCGAAAAAAAACATGCACCTGGTGAAATTATTAATGGTATGGACAATAAATACTTTGCCAGCCAATGGGTCTATAAATAAGCAGTAACACGCTAACTGTTTTGCGGTATATAAGATTTTAATCTTTAATGTAGTGCAGCAAATATTTTGCTGCTGCTAATCATCTATATTGTCTCTGATCCTCTGGTTTCATAGAAAGCCAAGTTGCCCGTAACGAATCCAATAAAATAAGCATTTGCCCCCAGCCGTTGTGCGATAAGTGTAAATCTAACCATGCGTTGTTTCTGGAAAGACGACTCTGTATCATATGCCGATATGATTTTTGTCCTGCGTATGGAACCGGCACTCGTGCTGTAATTATAAAACTGTGCTTTTACTCAATCTTCGGCTAGCAATTTAATGATTTATTGTCTCCAAAAGACTGATCGATACTTTCAGTAATCCCCATAAAGTTACATTGGCTTTGAAAGTTAATTGTTCTCCGCATTTTAAGAAGTGAAATTTCGTATAGAACGTAACGAAAGTTTCGAGGTAAAAAGCTATGGGGCTAGAGTGTTCCAAGCCTTATATTATAAATTGCGGTTTAGCCGGCCGTACTTGATAAGCAATCTATTTAGCTAATTAAGAATATATATGGGAATACAAGTAACTACAACAGGACGCCGGAATGATAAGTGGCGAAAGATATCATTGGAAGTCATATCACCCTACGGCTTATACACAAGCCAAGCTTCTATAGTTCAATTAAGCACATGTTACATGGTCATAGCTACATATACATTTGCTGCATCTGATCGCAGAAAGTTTTTATTAATGACTTTGTTTCAATGGTTTGAAAGATTTAATTCATACATTATAGCTCTAGCTCTATGAATAAAAAAAAATATGGAATAAGAATGACATACACTTACCGGTTTTTACAAAATGTTCGGCTACATTGATAATCTTTATAACATCCCTAAAGCTGTGCGTGCTGAGCTGTTCAAATAGTTCTTCCTCAAAATTTTAATTAGAAAATCTAATTTTTCAGTTCCTCATACATGCATTTGACACTTATTAATTATTACTCCGGCGTCAGCGACGGAGTTGAAAATTCGCCTCGGTTTTGTTTTGTTTTTGTTTTTTTTTTTTTTATTTTTTTTTTATTATTTTTCGTCGTCGCAAGTCTGTAATGGCGCGAAACATTCTAGTATTTAAAATGTGTATGTGATTGGATTTATCTATGTCCCAGTCTTGTCTCCCAAGAGTTGTGGTGCACAGCTTTGGCTAATTTTCCGATGCGCGATTCGATTTCGCTCGCATGATACGGCAATTCCTCCAAGAGGAACAAATAAACCGTTCTTTTCATGCTTTTCGATTAAGTTTAGACTGAATTGGGGTAAGAATATATTTAATACGTGTAGATTCTGGTCCTATTTTAGTAATATCGCTGCTATTTCGCCGTTTAACAAGATGATGTGGTCGTGTATGGGCGCTTTGACTCGTCGTAGTTTGCACAGGATTGAAGATTTAATATAACTATATAAGCGCGAATTCCAAAGGCAAAGTGTAAGACAAAGCGAATGTATTATGCGGTTTATTTACATTTTTGAACAATTGAACTTCTATACTTTTTAAAGTACGATGTGCTTCTGAATTTCGCGATGGAACATTTAGGTTCGCAAGGCGTCTAAATGCGAATATGAACTGCATTGTTTATGTTCAGAAGCTCTATATTGAAGACTGGCACGTGCGCCGGAGTTAACGCCAGAACAGGCGTCTTGTTATATATAGATCTAGCTCTTGCACCTGCTGCAAAGGTAAACAAATATATGGAGTTATGATAGCCTATAAGTCAATGAATGAGGTTCTTATTATGTTCGTTGTTCATTCTTTTTTGTTCGACAACTTAAAATATTATGTATCCAGTTAACAGTTCAGTTTATATCAAAAATTCAAGTTGATCTGGCAGTAAACTGCAGTTTTCAGTGCTGTTTAATTAAATACAAAAATCAGTCCAGTAGTCAGTACGTGTCTTATGCAGGAGAAAATAGCAGATTAGCACTACGTGCCATACCATAGCTTTTCTCAATGGGACAAAATATAACAGTGATATAAACTGAGGTGGCATCAACGAGGCGCCACAATAAAGAAGGTCAGATAAATAATTTATCACATTGGATCTTTACAATTACAAACATCACGTCGCCATGACGACACTGATCAAATACAAGTCGCCAATATCCAGCCTTAAAAAAATCAGAACATGACTTTATATTGTTTGACTTCTCTCAGGGGGATGAAAGTATCGGTTTACATTTTGCTGCTATTGCTCTTGGAAAAATACAATTGACAACTGCAATAATCCCTTTCGATAGTACGTCGCACGATTATCGTTTTCAATTTTAAATGAAATTGATTTCCCATGATAAGAAATTAATTTTACTCTCACGAGCCACGTGTAAAGATACAAAACATCCTTGTGGCAATAAGCTTTCAATATGGCTTTTTTCCTCACTTATTTATCAAAACGAATGTATATATTGAAGAAGGATTTTTGCATCTTTGCACGGCTCGTGAGAGTAAAATTTGAAATCCAACTCATTTAAGGTGGTTCTAAATTAAATTGATAATGTTGTGACGTAATTAGCGGAAGGGTGTATTGATACATACCACTGTCGCAACACAAGATTGACGTCTTGCGGTACACAAGTATCAAGTTATTAGTTAAAAAGTGGTTATTTTGAAAAATACATGATGCTGATTTGTCAACCCTGTCACAAATTTATAGTTAGAAGTTAGAACCTTCTCAACTATCTTTAATTTATACAACTGATCCTGGATCTGGCGTAACTTTTGACAAGATACATGTATGGTCAAGTCAGGAAGATGCTTTCTTCGCAAATACACAGCGCGGACTCTTTATAAAGGTATATATCCTCGTGGGATTATTCAGTGGGAAATATTTTAACTGGGGTCTGGGCAAACTGGCTTGTATTTGGACACGTCCATGTTACAACTCAAAACAGGTACGACAAAAACAAAGATAATTTGGAATCCTTTTTTGCGCAATGTGGCGAGGTTTATTCTCAGCGCTTATATCAAACATGTAATAGTGTCTAATATGCTGCGGAAACACATGCATCATTATCATAATTTTGTATAGTCTGTATACAAAAATAATTTTGTGGATCTTTTGCAATAATGCATTTTAAGTGCGCCCTAATAGCTGAATGATTTTGACCAATCACAGGACGTATTTGTCGGTAAATGCCGTCAGCGGTCTTCAGTGGCCAGGCCACATTTTGTTGTGTGTAGTGTTGAATGTCTTGTCTGCTAAATGTGTTTTAAATAGTAATTTGGGCGACGAATTTGTACGTTCCATCGTGGTTTTTCCTCGCAGCATCGAAATGTATGTGTAGCGTGTATTTCTCTGAGCTGTACACGCCGTCAAGTTGTTTTGTGTTGACACGAAATGGGGTTTACTCTTCGGAGAAACCGCATTATACTCGCAACAGTATTGTTTTTGCTTCCTGTTATTTTCTTGATTATAACATCGGATGGTGGTAACAGAGGTAAGTTTTACTTTATAATTGTTTACCGTTTTATGTTGCACTTTTAGCAAGGTAATTTAACAAGCTGCACAAGCCAAGCTTAGGCAGTTTACGCTTGTGTGCGTGTGTGCTTCCGGTCGACAATGTAACACTGTCACTCCATGAAAATAAATGTTTATTTCCAGTTTACAGACCGTTAAAAACGGAAATTAAAGTGTTGTAAAATTTATGCGGGTCTCATCTTCATTTATATTTTTTCTAATTGGTATATTGTCTTTCAAAGCCCCTCACTTTCCAGTTTCCATTCGAAGAAGCGTCATTTAAATGTTTTGTATCTATCTGTATAGAGCGTCGTAATACACTAACTTTCCATCACGGGTTCCCATATTGACACGTTATATCTTTATTTTTCTGCCGGTAGTGCTGTCAGCAACTTAATCAATTGCAGGACATATTGTATATTCATATTATATATTATAGCTTAAATTTCCCAAATCTTCCTGCTTACAAACTTGAAAATATGTTTATTTCATTCGTGTTTCGTTTATACATACCGGGTACTGTGTACATCCAACAAATGGTTTATTTATATTTAGGGCAGGTAAAAATCAGAATATATGTGTCGAATAAAAATATTTTTATTTTGCTGTATAGTACGCACAGTATTTGCTTACTGCTGAGATTGTGTTGGCTATAGTGAACTGGTTTTTATGGCATTTTGCATTAATTTGATCTAATTAACATGTTACATGGCCCTTTAAGGTAGATTTCTAAAACATGAATCTTTGGAACTACAGCACGTTTAGATTTCGGATACCGATGATTTTCAGTTTAATTATTGTATTTTCAAGTTTCGTTTTATTCAGCAATTTTGAAACAAATATCAAAATGTGAAGATAACTTGTTCATATAGTAATCCCTTAATAAATTGTTTCATGTGTAAATGCACTTGGTCAAGGTTTGAATTAGCAGAATCCAATTTTAGTCTTTGTAGTCATGGTAATTATTTGAATGATAAAAGAAACTTTTTAAGGCTGGATGTATAGATCTCTTAACTACATTTTTGGTGATTAACTTCAGTTAATTCCATAATACATACTTTTGATTTGCTACTGTCTTTTACTTACATTGAAGCCATTGGAATATGATCTTCTTAAGTCCTGTAATATAAAACCTAAATCACAATAGGAAGTTTAATCTTAACTTTTACAGTATTAATTAATGGCAACTGGCACCAGTCAATGCTTTCGTGTTGATGTTTACCAAGTATATTTTGCATATGTATCCTAGCTTGACAGTGATTTCAATAAAATCTGAAACTCTGTTATTCTTTACAGTGACAATTTTTTTATCAGAAGATTTTCACACATATGTGTGTACTAGATTACAAAATACATGTATAACATTTGAATTGTTGGTGATATTTGAAGTGTAGCTTGATGCAGAGCAACACCAATAAATTAGCTTTCAATTCATCCATATGCTTATAATTTAATGTGATTGATAATTTTGATACATTTGATAATTGTACATTTATGCATTTTATATAGTTCTAAAAACTGGTGTGGAAGTTGATCCATCTATCATTGAAAGATTGAAAGGCCTGTCCATGAGACTCCGTCTTGTAGAATCAAAGAATGATGAAGTTGCTCAAAATTTGATATCCATTAGGTCATCATCGTCATTACATCAATATAAAAGTGCATTAAGAAACAATAGAACTAAAATTAAAGATGCAGAATTTCTGAACAATACTCAATTAACACTACCTAGTATATATAATTATATGTCACATTTATTGGGAAGCAAGAACAGTTTGGTACCAGCAACTCAAGTCTCAGCTGGCAGACATGGAGGTACTATAATCTCTATGATATATAATCTTTGTTTTGGTGGATGTAAGATGCAGAACATGGTCTTCCATAATCATTGCATAATTATGAAACCATGGACAAGTAACTGTGTCAATAGCCTGGAAAATTAATTCCCCAAATCTGAATCTTGATCCAATGATTAATTTTAAATTAAACAGAGTCATTTAAACTGTCCTTAATACTAATTCATGGAATGTACAGCAAATTAGTTTATCTTTTTCATCTTTTATTGATTTCTGCTCTTTCAGTTTCCCTTGCTTTTGGAGTTCCAACTATCAAGAGGGACAAGGCCAGTTATGTTTTAAACACAATCCAGTCACTTATTACAGGAATATCGGATGAGGAGAAAAGAGATTGTATACTCATTGTATTTATAGCAGAAATTGAAGATAAAATCTTTGTAAGCAAGCTTATCAAAGAACTGAAAGACAGGTATGTACATTCATTAGCCTTACTGCCTTGAAACTCATTGCAGTAGAAAAAATTCTTGGCAAGATGACATATGATTGAAATATGATTCTGTTTTGTTAAGTAATTGCTAAATGCATCAATGAACATTCTGTTGAAGTGACTAGTGAATATAGGGGAACTCATTATGAAAAATTGAAATTGGTCACAAAAATCAAAATACACATCACAAAAGCAAAATAATTTCCATTTTTTTATCAACAGGTTAAATTTGATATTTTATTTCAGCTACCTTTGATACGGAAACAACGTATCACAACAATTATCACATACATCTCCTAATAAAGAGATTAATGGCTGGATAACACAGGTGTTCAGCGGGTATAGGGGAGGCTATTCTCTCTTCTCAACCACGTATCTTGATTAAATAGCTGTGTGAGAATTATCTGAAAAAAAAACAGTTGCATCAAATGTGTTATGTACATGGTGTAACAACTGCCTAAAAAGACTTTCGAGGTTTTAAACCTCCATCAGTGTTTTTATCTATTTCAGGACGCTTTTTAAAACATTTGATGCGAAGTTGTTAAAAGACGCTGCTATTCTGTTGCTTGGTTATATTAGTTTTTATCGGCCATAATGTTGATATTGGATTCAATGGTCAAGCACCTTGATCTTGCGCAAGCCTTGGGCCCCCGCTTCTCTTAAGCATTGTCTGCTTAGTTTAATTCCTTGACAATCCAATATTTGCAATATTGCACACAATACATAACATCAGATAACGATAATTGCATGTCAATTTTTCAGGCATCTTTACGTTTATCTTAGTGTTAAGACATCGAAAATGAGACGCAAAAGTAATTTCGGTAAAATTGTTTCTATAGGACAACTGTATTTTCTTCATAAACATGTGTGATGTGACAGATGTGTGGTAGTGCACTCACACGGACACACGTCAGTGGTTATTTTCAATTTTGGGCATGTTAATTATAATGACAATGTGCAATGTATTTTTCATCCTAGGTTTCATAGCTATATTCGTTCAGGATTAATAGAAATTGTCGTCCCGCCAAAAGAATTTTATCCCGATTTGAATAACCTTCCAAAAGATGTAACTTTCCACGATCCTCCTTTGCGAGTGAAGTAAGTCTCTTCATTTTCTACCTTAATAAAAATTTGTTAAAATATTTATAAATCAATCATTTAAATATCAGCATCGTACACACAGGGGGTACTATTGGGAGCATGGCCATATTTATTATGTATTTAGGCTAGACTATAGTATATATTCAGTAATACAGTAAGAGTGGAAAATTCATCCGTCTTAAAAAGTGATAACGATTTTCCTCGCATTGTACTCATTAAATTGAACTCCTAATGGGGAGTTAGGAGTAATTCTAAAAATTGTGAGAGTGGGACCTCGTGGCCAAGCGCTTCATTGAAAAGCAATTTACACACAGCGTCTGTATAGATATCATACGAAGCTGGTTCGATTTGATCGCCAGGGGGCTCGAGTTGGTGTCAGATTAAGTTTATGATGTTAATAATGTATGAAGTATGTCCTGCTTGTCAGCCGTCCATTGATATAAATTTTATTTTGCTGTTAGCCTTCTACAGTACATAAGCAGAGCCTTTGGACCAATATATCTTTCTGTACAAATGTAACTTAGACGAATAGGCAACTCATTGTTTAATCGATAAAATTTTAATTCAACTTTACTTTTCAAGATGGCGAACAAAGCAGAATCTGGACTTTTCATATCTCATGATGTACGCACAGCAGAGAGCTCGGTTCTATGTTCAGGTAAAATAAGAAGAATGACTTCCTGAAGTGTTCTTATCCCTGCCCTTTAGCTCTGCATGATGTGACAGGATTTTTTCGGTATCTCATTCATGCTTTCGTTTAGCTCGAAGATGATTTAATTGCAACACCTGGATACGTGAGTACAATACGAACCTTTGCTTTGCAACAAACTGAGAATCGTTGGATGATCCTTGAATTCTCGTCCCTTGGTTTTATTGGTATGTTAAAGTACTTCTGCATTTTATTCAATTAAATAACCACAGTTGTTAATATGACGTACATTTACTCGAGTGGCCACACTTGTATATTAGTCATGTAAAGCAAAGTTCTTTTTTGTGAATCTGATCCATTGGTCTGATCAAACGCCCGTGTATGCATGCAACAGCAATCTTTATTGCAATTTTTATCAATCTTCAAGTATATGAAGTCCCAAATATCGTTGATAAGACACTGACTGCATGTAGTACCCCAGAGGCCAGATGGAAGAAGACTGGAGTCACTGGATAGTAATCATCAGTCACCCTGGGGCCGTACGAAGCCTGGATAGCGCTATCCACCAGATAGTGATGTTTTCAAGTTTCAACCATTCTAAAAATGCTTGGAAAGCAATAAAATTTCTGCTTTGAAACCAACAATTGTTAAAGAGGATTCTCAATTTAGGAATACTAAGATTTAGTCGAAGTTATTCCTAACAAAGGTCGATTTTAAAGCGATTGAAAAAAAAAAAACCCCACTATCCGGTAGATGGCGCTATCCGGCTTTCATACAACCGGCGCCTGAACATCAATAAAAATCAATGAAGCCAACAATTAATAACGAGAAACTTCGATACTGGGGTGCGGCTTTTACCATACTTCAAGGGCTTTCAGGCTATTTTTGGGCAATTCGAACAACTACATGATTGCATCTGTTGGAATATATTCAATATAGCGCTATCCCGCATTCCTATAACCGCGGTCCTCATGTTATCGCCCTAGAATTTATACATATTTCATTGATATTGCAGGAAAACTATTCCGAACAAGTGATCTACCAGCGATTGTTGAGTTCTTCCTTATGTTTCACAAAGATAAGCCTGTTGATTGGCTACTCGATCACATACTGTGGGTTAAAGTGTGCAGCCCGGATAAAGACCAGGTAACCACCCGGTAATCACATAAATCCGGTTACCCGAGATTTAACGTAGCGTAAAATGACTTTGAGGTATTGAATTGAGTAAATAACATGATTCTGGTTGTCGTGTAGTCAGCCTAACAAGAGCACGTGCTTGTTTTGATTCAAGAAGAAGGCTCATTTCAATACCTCAAAATCATCTCACGTGTCGTTAAATCAGAGGTAACCGGGCGTATGTGAACAGCTGGTATATTTATAATCCTTTTTAGTTAGCTACTTGTTCTAGCTGCTAGGCATGATATTCAAAGAATCTGAATTTCATCTCGCGTCACATTTTTTGTGAATTGAGCCTGATACTAACATGGCCGGATCCTATAATGCGGACGCATGACGCAGATGCAAGACTAGGTCACTACACTAATTACATGTCACACATGCTGTTAATACTGGATATAGTCTGCTTCGTACGCGACTGCGCCAAGTACGGTATTAATATTGGTGTACAAATACATATATGTTATTTACCGGCTGCGCGGTCCGGTAAATGACATATTTATTCGTATTATGCAATGGCGACGAAAACATAAACAATCAAAACCTGGTTCGTTTAATCTACTAAAGTTCACTTCAACTTATCGTGATAATCATTTGGTCGATATATTTAAAAAAAAGGTAAAAAAGTCAAAAGTTTGCGAAAAAATCTTTAGAAAAACAAAACAAATACGCTTTCGCTCGAGCATGAAATATAGGATTCCGGACCGTGGTCAGATATCGGTAAAATTCCGCCCGCGACTACAGCCAATCAGATTGTATAGGAAAGGCTAGGATTCCTCCCGCTGCTGATTTGTAAAAAAAATAATTGGCTAATATGAGTGCGTGGCCTGCGTCCAAGGCTTTGAAAACAGTACTGATACTTGTGGTGTATTACTGTATGAACCTCGCGTGTGGTAGTCCTCCAATTCTTCCATTTTATACTTTAGGCTCACTGCAATCGAGAAAAGGCTCAGTTACGAATCCGTTTTAAGCCTTCTCTGTTTCAACATGTTGGAAAGGAATCATCATTGCCTGGAAAGAGACAGAATTTAGTTGTAAGTTTACGGGGCTACGGCCATTAGATAAAGAACATTATGGTATGAGTGAAACATCAGACAAACAGCTCCCTGCAGTACCAAATATACCGAAAGGTCCGAAACAAAGTATTCATGAATTACATTTATTAACGTGGTTACATACGTCTGCGCTTCTGTCATTTTATTCAGTGCGCAGTCAGCTTGATCCCAGGGAGGTCCAACTACGTATATTTGTCTTCTTTAAAGACAATCGTGAAAGGAATATGTAAATCACCCATCCCTCAGATTACCCACTGTGCTGCAATGATATCAGTCTCTCGCATTCAAAATTAGATCCCTTTCTGCGTAGTGCACGTCTGAGACATGGGTTGCGACTCAGTTACCATAGTTACAGAAACCTATTTATAATACATATACGTTTGTATAGGATAAGGATTTCAAGAAAGCTCCATTGTTTCAAGCTCATCTTAATCCGAAGGCGTCAGTAATCACAACAATCAATGTGTACCAAACCCATACGATAGAAAGGGCGTACACCGGGCAGAGTTTCTTTTGGGGTCACACCCCACACAAGGGAGATGTTGTTCGGTTCAAGTTCGATGAAGAACTTTATCTTGAACAGTAAGTGCACAACTGAATTTCTGCATGCATTCATAAGTAACAAAACTTTACCATAGTATAACTTTTAGTATAATTTAGTATAATTTCAGTGCTAAGTATCGAAATACATGTTGCAATTTAAAAACATGGATGTGGTAAATATGAATTTGTAACTTTTTCTAGTTTTCGTATCAATACTGGAAATGTGGAACATCCTGGTGACATTTTTTCCAATGCATCTGTCGAGATTTTGACAACAGAGAGCAAGTTGAAAAGAGAGAAATGTGAGTATTAAGAAGTTGGTCAAATAGATGGAAAGGTACTTGTGTAAATTAGGTTGTGTGCAGTTGTCATACCAGGTGAAGTAAGTAATTAAGGTATTTTCCTACGAAAACCTAACATTACCTCATACGTTTAGGTAATCATGGAATATACAACCAGTTATTAATAGTATACCAGTGATGTTTGAAGATTTTGCCAAGCTGCCATGACCCGGGGAGGGTTTTTAAAATCACGAGTACTATTCCTTGCTAACAGTATGCACGGGTAGTGAAACTGTGACAATGACAATTGTCAAAATGCTTGATGACTAAATATTTCTATTCCGGGACAACTTACGTTTTAGACCGAAATTAACTAATGATGCAAATAGTCATAATATATCACGTAAAGCCTGGTTTCCATTTTGTGGTATTGTAGTGAACAAGTCATTTTTTAAAAGGATAGTCCAGATAATTCAAATCGGTCATTGTTGACTGTATTCACAAAAATATTCTATCACATCAGCCACCTTGACATGTTCACGACAATTGCGACTTAAATTGAACCAGGCTCGATATTTTAACTATTCATGTTTCTTGAAACAGTGTCCCATGAAACTCCTGCATCTGACGTGGAAGCACAGAAAACGTTTGTAAAAGGAGAATTTTTGCCTAATGATTATATTCGTGTGGGTAAATTTGTGAACGGTCTTGCTGATTATGCTGTCCCAGCTACGATTGGTAAAGTGAGTGAGCTTCTGATTAGAGTCAATGATCATACTGGACAAAACTGGGTGATAATTAGTGAGGTATGTCTGATTACGCAAGGTTATATTGCTCGTTCGAACACATCAACCGCAAAGTGTGGCTAAAAAATATTGCAAAATGCGGGAAATACAGTCCTGAAAGAGATTGCACCTATATTTTCCGCATTTGACAAAGCTTTGCCACCAAACCCTGGAATTTGATCATGTACTGTATAGAATGCTCTTCCCAGCTGTGTATTGATTAACATTTCTAGTTAAAAACGTGTCATGGTAGTATAATACATCGGCCTATTTCAGGGGTGGATCCAGCACTAGTGCACTAATTTGCATGACACAAGAAAACTGCTGAGAATAGCAATTTTGTTTTGTAATGCAAATTAGTGCACTAGTGCTGGATCCACCCCTGGCCTATTTCAACTAATACACATATGTTGTTGCAGAGTTAGGGTTTAAGGTTCGAGGTATTATGTTCCTCATTTCTACAAAAGTTTCTACACAAGAAAAATGTAAACAAAAGATGTATGCACAGGGGTGCATGGGATATCGGAACAATATCGATACCAACGTCTGAAATTAAGAATTCCTTTTAGAGTTTTCCAATATAAATGCATGCATGTATTGTAGATTAGGAGACATGAAAGATTGCACATAGATGTCCTTCATTTTTTTTTCTTCGTAGATTCACATAATAAAGAGGTAACACCAAGCAATGTCTCTACAATCATAACGCACTAATATCTTCCATGAAGATCTCTTCGCGAGGTATAAACACGTTTGTGCACCTGATGAGTAATGTGAAACGCACTCTGAGCAAGTCTGAGCAATCTGGGTTTGCTGCAAGTACTCGTCATGGAATGGAGTTCCCGAAATCAACACCTACAATAAACACGTTGATGAATTTTGCTGCTTTTGCTAACGAAATGACGGATAGAGCCTTTAGTTTATACGACTGAGATCAATCCTTTCCTTGGTTTTCAAAATTCATCTAACAGGCATGTGGATAGTAGATACCGCCATCAAACTTTCAAAAAAGCCCCTGTTGTGAGAACACAGTCAGCCAGCTGTAAATTCAATTTCTAAATTCCCCGACGAAATAAGTAATTTGTCAAAATCAGTTGCAAGATGGCGCTTCGTTGAAGATAATCAAGTGAATTAATTTATTATTACGGATAAGCTGGCGGATGACTGCATATTTTTTGGAAAATGCATGACATGTGAAAAAAATGGAAAACGTTGCAAGATAAACTACCAATGACGTCTTTAACACATAAAAGAAATTACCTCCTTTACGACTGCCATCAACTGCTATCTACCTCCTTTACGACTGCTATTCGCTTTTTTCCACTATTCATTCTGTTGAAATGCACATCCTCCATCTTTCTGCGATTATAGATAAAACAGATCCTCAGAAATGTTATTTAGTATACTGGTTTTGTAAAGCCTCGTTACTCAATGCAATTTTTCTTTCAAATAGCAACGCAATTATATTTTTGAGAGATGTAAATGTGGCAACTACGAAATCTGTGCTTATTAATTCTCGAAAACTCTTCACTGAGTTTACATCCCTAAAAAATAGAATTGCATTGCAAATTGCAAGAAAAATTGCATTGTGTATCAACACGGCCTTAAAATAGTGTTTCTAGTCCAAACCTCTGATCTCTTTTCTATAGTATAGTCATAATTTTTTAATAGGTTTTTTGTAGTTTAAATGTAGTTATTTAATAAATTGTTGGCACCACAAACCGTTTGAAGGCGCAGGAGCTTTTTGGCAGTTGACTTGAACATGATCCCGAAAATGATTTTGAGGTAATGAAATGCGTCTCCACGAAATCTGAAGCATATGCTGTTGTGTATATGACATCCTCGGAGCTGAACTAGAATAAATAAAACTTGGAATGAGAATTTTAGTTTGCTAAGAAAAGCTACGAAAGAAGTTTTGCGAGATAGAGAACAATACAGTAGAACAATAAAACAATAGAATAAGCCAATCGATATTTTTTTGAAAAAAAATATTCAGGATCGATTAGGGAGACAACCTCGCAAGCCAGGATCTTGTTACAGAGACATTTAAGTTTTCATCCCTTGACTCTTAAAAACAGAATAAATCGTGTTTTTTGTATAAGACCACGGACCACGTTAATAGAAAATGGCGGTTTCCTGTGATCACCAAGCATGACAGAAACGCGTTAACTAAAACGTGATTTTTATCCCAGCCCTTGATCGTAGAATTGTAATGTTTTGATGTATAACTGCAGTCTACAGTAATATATTTAGTTTCGAAATTGGAACAATTATATATAGCCGCCTTTCTCCGTACATTTTGAATTAAGAGATTTCAACGCGCATCTCATCATCATTTTACTAACTGCATGATATACTCCGCATCATGGATATGATACAAAATCCAGACAAATCACTGAAACCACACAGATGTTAACAATGGCGCTACAAATTGTTGGGACAAACGGGAACAAACTTGTTAATAATAATGTTGTTACAACGCGTTAAAAAAGACTTGTAACAAGTTGTTGTTAACGCCAACAAATTGTCAACAACAACTTGTTCGGACAAATTTGATAACATTAATTTTGTTCTCAACAAGCTTGATACAAGTTGTTCAAACAACTCGCTACAAGTCTGCGAGCCAACAAGTTGTAACAAGCTTGATATCTACAAGCTTGTTCAGCACGATAAGTCAACAAGCTTGTTACAAGCTTGTTCACAACTTGCGACAAGCTTGTTGAGTCAACAACTTGTCAACAAGGTGTGAGATTTTTAGGTGTGTATGTACTAAATATTATATACTGCAGAATAAAGCTAACGATAAAAATGAATGGAATTGAATTGACAACTACGTATACATGCACGTTGCATAAAATTGACTATGCTTGTAACAATAGATAGATTATCTACAGCTTTTCTTTGTTTGCTGCCGTTATTATCTTTTATGAATATTGATTAGTGAAAGCTATGTCTATGATGTTGATATCATAGAAATTCAGTAGAATAATAACTTGTTTCTCTGAACGACGGTAATAGGGATTTTCAAAGACAGATTTGACTTTTCATCCATGATAACCTTCACCAGTACAGCGTAGTTGAACATAATGCTTTTTCTTGTTTCGACTGTCGGAATCAAGTCCATAGCAGGTTGTATGTCTAACTCTACGTTGGATAGTGTTACGCACTGTTTTGTCTGGACGCTCTCCGCAGCTACCTGGCTCTGCAATACTTTAATCGTGACGCATTTATGTAAGCTGCGGTGATCACTTTCGTTCTCGATAAGGCCAACATCTTGCACAAGCTGAGCGATCACAAATTTTGTTTGAACTTTTCTTTCGCTATTGTCTACGGTAATATTAAGGGAGATCGTCTCGCCGAGGTAGTATACAACGCGACCTAATTCACAAGTCAGGTGTACCGCAGCAGCTAAACCGAGCACCCCACTTCGATAAGACTTACGATATGTCTTCGGCATTGAATATCCAGGAATCTCCGTTAACTCTCGGGTTTGGCGAAATTTAAAATCCTTTCTACATCTATGCGCCAAAGTGTGTTTCGATCGTATAACGATGCTTTCAATGTAATAACGAACATAAGCCGTTATACCAGAATAAGATGTGTTTAATTCAAACGACGACGGTAAGTGATTCCTGAGCTGAAAATGAAACGGTACTGTGTAACGAACGTTCTCTTGTAGTGTCGTTTCGAAATGCTCGCTGATTTGTGTTTCCGGGGTTGGAAATATAATTTGAACTATGTCGATGAAAACCTCCCGCCGTTCTGTGTTTGCTAAAGAAATATAGGCTTGCCCTGTGAGCTTCACTTGAATTTCGTGTATTGTAGTCGGTTTGCTTGGGCAGATTTCGAGTATTCCAGACAACACACATGGTTGATAGGCACCATCTTGGTTTGCAAGAATAATTTTAACATCTTTAAGATCATCGCTCATACTGACTCCGTGTTGTGTTGAACTTAAATACAAGTAATCGTTGACGCTTGAGAGTTGAGGACCAAAACTTAACATATACGCTACGACTCAAAATACAGCTGCCTCATGTCAGTAACGTTTTATCTAATCATTTACATTGCAAAGTAGAGAACATGTGCAAATTAAGATAGTATCTCGCATTCGCGCTGTTCCAGCTTTAACATTTTAGAGGAAAGTGTAATATTTATTTGACAATGAATGAAAAAATTCCAAAAAATCTAGAAGTCAGAATAAAAAATGGCAAATATTCTATAAGAATCACACTCTTCAAATAAGATTAATTCAATTTTGTCACACGCTTTGATTGTTTGGTCTATTCGTTTGATATATTTTTCATGCAGTTAAAGTGCTGTTTCTGGTCGTGAAGATAAGTTAGGCCCGTTTCAGACGTCGAACTTTTCATGTGCCGAATCAAATGCAAACGAGCTTTATAAACAAAGACTTTAGCTTATTAACATCAGGTTCGGCACATGAAAAGTTCGACGTCTGAAACAGGCCTTAAATGTGATAATTCATAAGCCATATTTTTTTTTTTTGTTTTAATTTTTTCGCCCATATCTATTTACACGTAACCAGTAATTAGAAGAAAATATTAGATAGTAGGGCTAGGAACCTTCTAGAAACCATAGGGCTTTTGTTTAAGGTCCCTAGATTACAATTAACTAATTATATACCAAAAATTGTCAGTTCGCCGATTATCTATTCTAAATAAGAAGATAGCAATATTAACTAAGATCTAAATATAATAAACAAGCTATTCCAATTGTATTGTGTGATATGAAAGAGAAAAATATTATACATGCAAAGAGTATAGAGTTTACATTATAATCCTTTACAGCCATTTTTATGGTAGCAAGGGTCTATAATGCTAAGTTATTGGGTTTAAGTGCAAGAAATATTTTTTCATTGTTGATTTAAATGTACCATATGATATATATATATATATATATAGCACAGAGAAAGTATGGAAAGCCGTTTCGACCAGAAGGAAGGAGGGGGAGAAAAGGACTGTTAAGATTTTTTCTCGTAATATTAATAAATAGGCTAGATATTCTGCGAAATTGATCTAGTTTTGCCAAAGTTCTAAAATGTTTTTGTTTCGCGGATTCTTAAGACTTAACAGTTTATCATCATGCAGACACTCTTCTTGAAGACTTTACTGCGGGAGGCAAAAACATTAGAAATTATGTAGCACTAGAAACGAATTTTCTTTTCGCCCAAAATCCGAAGAAGTGATCGAAAGGAAAGTGTCAGTTTGTCAGGAAACTCCACAAAATTTTCAACTTGTGGCAGAATTAATGTGGTCCTGTGGTTCCCGCTTTCGTATTTCGAATTTTTCCGAGATCCCCTTAATATACAAAACTTAACCGGCTGTCAATCACTAAATCTGTTAGTCTCGTGGTGAAGACTGTGAAAATGTGGTCGAGGTGACTCAAAAAATTTATATCTTGAAGTATTTTGTCTTGGGCTACCTGTGTCAAGCCAGACACAGGTAGCCCAAAACAGACACAGGTAGCCCAAGACAAAATACTTCTTCGTCGAAAAAAAAATCTAAGAGAGTTTCAAAAAAGGGAAAAAAATTAAATTTTTTCACTCTCGAGAAAATCACCCTGTCAAATTTTCGTGAAAAAAATTTAAGGTACGTAAACATGAGTTTTTTAAAAGCGGGAAATTGTTTGATTTTTTTCCGTCTCACTTTCTTCATTTTCAGGCTTTTTAGAAGACACGTGTTTTTAAAACTTTTTTTACTTGTGCTTTTTTTTAATTTTTAGGTACTTTTGAACGCGATAATTTTTTTTTGGTTTTTTTATTTCAAATTTTTTTTTCAATTCACAGTCTTTCGCAAAGGCCGAAAAGTCTTTTAACTGTTTTAAACATTCCAAATCACACCGAGATTTCAGGCTGATTTTGTTGCATTGCCAGGAGTTGAAACGTTTGTCCTCGGATTGAGAGACGAACGTCTTAACCACTAGACCATCGCGTCATTTGTCGAAAGCTATTGTTCTCTATTTGACCTAATCCTTTCGATGAATTTTAAATTAAATAGTAATTTCGGTGGGAAAAATCGAACCTTTCCCATGCAGGATTCGAACCTACCCTTACAACCTGGTAGGCCGTAGCTTTAACCACTGGGCCATAGGATTGGTTGTTGATATATATGTTATTGAGGTAGCGCAGTGGTTAAGGCTTCGGCCTACCAGGTTGTAAGGGTAGGTTCGAATTCTGCATGGGAAAGGTTCGATTTTTCCCACCGAAATTACTATTTAATTTAAAAATCATCGAAAGGATTAGGTCAAATAGAGAACAATAGCTTCCGACAAATGACGCGGTGGTCTAGTGGTTAAGACGTTCGTCTCTCAATCCGAGGACAAACGTTTCAACCCCTGGCAATGCAACAAAATTAGCCTGAAAAATCTCGGCGCGATTTGGAATGTTTAAAACAGTTAAAAGACTTTTCGGCCTTTGCGAAAGACGGTGAATTGAAAAAAATTTGAAATAAAAAAACCAAAAGAAAAATTATCGTGTTAAAAAGTACCTGAAAATTAAAAAAAAGCACAATAAAAAAAGTTTTAAAAACACGTGTCTTCTAAAACGCCTGAAAATGAAGAAAGTCAGACGGAAAAAAATCAAACAATTTCCCGCTTTTAAAAAACTCATATCTACGTACCTTAATTTTTTTTCACGAAAATTTGACAGGGTGATTTTCTCGAGAGTGAAAAAATTTAATTTTTTTCACTTTTTTGAAATTCTCTTAGATTTTTTTTCCACGAAGAAGTATTTTGTCTTGGGCTACCTGTGTCAAGCCAGACACAGGTAGCCCAAGACAGACACAGGTAGCCCAAGACAAAATACTTCTTCGTCGAAAAAAAAATCTAAGAGAATTTCAAAAAAGGGGAAAAAATTAAATTTTTTCACTCTCGAGAAAATCACCCTGTCAAATTTTCGTGAAAAAAATTTAAGGTACGTAAACATGAGTTTTTTAAAAGCGGGAAATTGTTTGATTTTTTCCGTCTCACTTTCTTCATTTTCAGGCTTTTTAGAAGACACGTGTTTTTAAAACTTTTTTTACTTGTGCTTTTTTTTTAATTTTTAGGTACTTTTGAACGCGATAATTTTTTTTTTGTTTTTTTATTTCAATTTTTTTTTTCAATTCACAGTCTTTCGCAAAGGCCGAAAAGTCTTTTAACTGTTTTAAACATTCCAAATCATAACCGAGATTTCAGGCTAATTTTGTTGCATTGCCAGGAGTTGAAACGTTTGTCCTCGGATTGAGAGACGAACGTCTTAACCACTAGACCATCGCGTCATTTGTCGAAAGCTATTGTTCTCTATTTGACCTAATCCTTTCGATGAATTTTAAATTAAATAGTAATTTCGGTTGGAAAAATCGAACCTTTCCCATGCAGGATTCGAACCTACCCTTACAACCTGGTAGGCCGTAGCTTTAACCACTGGGCCATAGGATTGGTTGTTGATATATATGTTATTGAGGTAGCGCAGTGGTTAAGGCTTCGGCCTACCAGGTTGTAAGGGTAGGTTCGAATCCTGCATGGGAAAGGTTCGATTTTTCCCACCGAAATTACTATTTAATTTAAAATTCATCGAAAGGATTAGGTCAAATAGAGAATAATAGCTTTCGACAAATGACGCGGTGGTCTAGTGGTTAAGACGTTCGTCTCTCAATCCGAGGACAAACGTTTCAACTCCTGGCAATGCAACAAAATTAGCCTGAAAAATCTCGGTGTGATTTGGAATGTTTAAAACAGTTAAAAGACTTTTCGGCCTTTGCGAAAGACGGTGAATTGAAAAAAATTTGAAATAAAAAAACCAAAAAAAAATTATCGCGTTCAAAAGTACCTAAAAATTAAAAAAAAAGCAGAAGTAAAAAAAGTTTTAAAAACACGTGTCTTCTAAAAAGCCTGAAAATAAAGAAAGTTAGACGGAAAAAAATCAAACAATTTCCCGCTTTTAAAAAACTCATGTTTACGTACCTTAATTTTTTTTCACGAAAATTTGACAGGGTGATTTTCTCGAGAGTGAAAAAATTTAATTTTTTCCCCTTTTTTGAAATTCTCTTAGATTTTTTTTTCGACGAAGAAGTATTTTGTCTTGGGCTTCCTGTGTCAAGCCAGACACAGGTCGCCCAAGATAGACACAGGTAGCCCAAGACAAAATACTTCTTCGTCGAAAAAAAAATCTAAGAGAATTTCAAAAAAGTGAAAAAAATTAAATTTTTTCACTCTCGAGAAAATCACCCTGTCAAATTTTCGTGAAAAAAAATTAAGGTACGTAAATATGAGTTTTTTAAAAGCGGGAAATTGTTTGATTTTTTTCCGTCTGACTTTCTTCATTTTTAGGCGTTTTAGAAGACACGTGTTTTTAAAACTTTTTTTACTTGTGCTTTTCTTTTAATTTTCAGGTACTTTTTAACACCATAATTTTTCTTTTGGTTTTTTTATTTCAAATTTTTTTCAATTCACAGTCTTTCGCAAAGGCCGAAAAGTCTTTTAACTGTTTTAAACATTCCAAATCACACCGAGATTTTTCAGGCTAATTTTGTTGCATTGCCAGGAGTTGAAACGTTTGTCCTCGGATTGAGAGACGAACGTCTTAACCACTAGACCATCGCGTCATTTGTCGAAAGCTATTGTTCTCTATTTGACCTAATCCTTTCGATGAATTTTAAATTAAATAGTAATTTCGGTGGGAAAAATCGAACCTTTCCCATGCAGGATTCGAACCTACACTTACAACCTGGTAGGCCGTAGCCTTAACCACTGGGCCATAGGATTGGTTGTTGATATATATGTTATTGAAGTAGCGCAGTGGTTAAGGCTTCGGCCTACCAGGTTGTAAGGGTAGGTTCGAATCCTGCATGGGAAAGGTTCGATTTTTCCACCGAAATTACTATTTAATTTAAAATTCATCGAAAGGATTAGGTCAAATAGAGAACAATAGCTTTCGACAAATGACGCGATGGTCTAGTGGTTAAGACGTTCGTCTCTCAATCCGAGGACAAACGTTTCAACTCCTGGCAATGCAACAAAATTAGCCTGAAAAATCTCGGTGTGATTTGGAATGTTTAAAACAGTTAAAAGACTTTTCGGCCTTTGCGAAAGACTGTGAATTGAAAAAAAAATTTGAAATAAAAAAACCAAAAAAAAATTATCGCGTTCAAAAGTACCTAAAAATTAAAAAAAAAGCAGAAGTAAAAAAAGTTTTAAAAACACGTGTCTTCTAAAAAGCCTGAAAATAAAGAAAGTCAGACGGAAAAAAATCAAACAATTTCCCGCTTTTAAAAAACTCATGTTTACGTACCTTAATTTTTTTTCACGAAAATTTGACAGGGTGATTTTCTCGAGAGTGAAAAAATTTAATTTTTTCCCCTTTTTTGAAATTCTCTTAGATTTTTTTTTCGACGAAGAAGTATTTTGTCTTGGGCTACCTGTGTCTGTCTTGGGGCCTGTGTCTGGCTTGACACAGGTAGCCCAAGACAAAATACTTCTTCGTCGAAAAAAAAATCTAAGAGAATTTCAAAAAAGTGAAAAAAATTAAATTTTTTCACTCTCGAGAAAATCACCCTGTCAAATTTTCGTGAAAAAAAATTAAGGTACGTAAATATGAGTTTTTTAAAAGCGGGAAATTGTTTGATTTTTTTCCGTCTGACTTTCTTCATTTTTAGGCGTTTTAGAAGACACGTGTTTTTAAAACTTTTTTTACTTGTGCTTTTCTTTTAATTTTCAGGTACTTTTTAACACCATAATTTTTCTTTTGGTTTTTTTATTTCAAATTTTTTTCAATTCACAGTCTTTCGCAAAGGCCGAAAAGTCTTTTAACTGTTTTAAACATTCCAAATCACACCGAGATTTTTCAGGCTAATTTTGTTGCATTGCCAGGAGTTGAAACGTTTGTCCTCGGATTGAGAGACGAACGTCTTAACCACTAGACCATCGCGTCATTTGTCGAAAGCTATTGTTCTCTATTTGACCTAATCCTTTCGATGAATTTTAAATTAAATAGTAATTTCGGTGGGAAAAATCGAACCTTTCCCATGCAGGATTCGAACCTACCCTTACAACCTGGTAGGCCGTAGCCTTAACCACTGGGCCATAGGATTGGTTGTTGCCTTATTGAGGTAGCGCAGTGGTTAAGGCTTCGGCCTACCAGGTTGTAAGGGTAGGTTCGAATCCTGCATGGGAAAGGTTCGATTTTTCCAACCGAAATTATTATTTAATTTAAAATTCATCGAAAGGATTAGGTCAAATAGAGAACAATAACTTTCGACAAATGACGCGATGGTCTAGTGGTTAAGACGTTCGTCTCTCAATCCGAGGACAAACGTTTCAACTCCTGGCAATGCAACAAAATTAGCCTGAAAAATCTCGGTGTGATTTGGAATGTGTAAAACAGTGAAAAGACTTCTCGGACTTTGTGAAAGACTGTAAATTGAAAAAAATTTGAAATAAAAAAACCAAAAGAAAAATTATCGTGTTAAAAAGTACCTGAAAATTAAAAGAAAAGCACAAGTAAAAAAAGTTTTAAAAACACGTGTCTTCTAAAACGCCTGAAAATGAAGAAAGTCAGACGGAAAAAAATCAAACAATTTCCCGCTTTTAAAAAACTCATATTTACGTACCTTAATTTTTTTTCACGAAAATTTGACAGGGTGATTTTCTTGGGCTACTGTATCGCCATATAGCGCCAATGACAAATAAATTTCATTTATCTAAAAGATGAGAAAAATATATTCTAAAATTGAAAAAAATCAATCTAAGTGAAGTTTAGTCTATATCCCGACTTAATTTTCAGTCTTTTTAGGAGACAGATGCTTTTCAATTTTTTCTTATTTTTTGCTTTTCATTTTTTTAAATTTTTTAGTCAATTTTAAGTACGTTTTTGAAGCCGATTTAATTTGGGGCATTACGGAACAGTAAGGAACACTGCAGCAAATATGCCGTGGCCGAAAGCTGCCACTTTGAAATAATGTTTGAAAAGCGTTTTATTGTGGATTATAAATATTTTATTTTATTTTATTTCAATTATTCATATTTAATGCAACTTAAACGCTTTCAAATTAATTTGGGGCATTATGGAACAGTAAGGAACAAGTATATTTGGCAATTGGCAGTTCTCGGCCACATGAAAAGAAAAAAATATGGTGGCCGAGAGCTGCCAATTAATTTTTGAAAAACGTTTTATTGTGGATGGGAAATATTTTATTTCACATTGATTTTAAATTTTAAAGTCATTTTAGTGCAACTTAAACGCTTCCAAATTAATTTGGGGCATTACGGAACAGTTAGCAACAAGTATACTTGGCAACGTGAATATGGTGGCCGAGAGCTGCCATTTCGAAATAATGTTTGAAAAGCGTTTTATTGTGGATTAGAAATATTTTGTTTCAGATTAATTTTAAATTTTCAAGTTATTTTTAGTACAACTTAAACGCTTTTAAATGAATTTCGAGACATTACGGAACAGTAAGAAACAAGTATATTTGGCAATTGGCAGTTCTCGGCCACGTGAAAAAAAAAATTAAAAATATGGTGGCCGAGAGTTGCCATTTTGAAATAATGTTTGAAAAGCGTTTTATTGTGGCTTAGAAATATTTTATTTTAGATTAATTTTAAATTTTTAATAAAGTCATTTTTGGTCCAACTTTCAAATAAATTTGGGGCATTACGGAACAGTTAGGAACGAGTATATTTGGCCACGTGAGTGCACTGAGTGCGACTGACGGTCGAGATTAAAGATGGCGTCGGAAAGAGAGCGGAAAGATCGTGCATTGGGGTTATCTATGGAAATTAAACTCACAAAAGCTCAAAGAAAAATGGTAAAAAAACAGAATAAAGCCCTTCACACACTTAAGAATAGAGAAAAGGAAGTAGGGGAGATATCTGACGTTCCAACAGCATATTTGTTGGTAAAGAATGGCGGGTTAATGTGCGGAGTGGAAAGACAGGATCTAGTCAATGTCTTTAAGAAATATGGAAAATTAGACGATATAATTATGCTTCCAGGGAAATCATTTAGCTACGTCTTGTTTTGTAATTCTTCAAGTGCTGAGGAAGCAATGGCAAGCCTAAACGGTCAAAAGCTATGCTTTAATCAAAACATTTTTAGGAATTTTTACTTGGCATATTTGAAGAAAAGACCCCATATGGAATTGTGTTTGTCAAATAAGGACTACCCTGCGGGAATGATTCTCATTGAAGAATTTATTAATGAACTCCAAGAGCTTGAACTGCTGCAGCGTTTCTTTAGTTGTGAGGAGGACACAAGCGTAGTAGGTGTAACAGGTATAAATGAGTTTTTACTTTGTTGCCTGCATAGATCAAGACAGATTAGCAGTACCTTTACCTCATTACACTGATTACAGACTCTCTAATACTATATTTTCCATAATTTTAGCTGAACAACAGTTGAAGCATAGATATGTAAAACATTATGGTTATGAATTTTTGTATGGTTCAAATAATGTGGACAAAGACAAGCCATTACCTGATGGAATACCAAGTGAATGTTCATTGGTTGTGAAAAAGCTTGTTTCACTTGATTGTGTGAAGCATGAACCAGATCAACTTACAATTAATGAGTATAAACCTGGGCAAGGTACTGATGTGTACCTCTATTATGGTTTGTTTAAGTAAATACAGCTGAAGAATTGGTTTGTAAATTAGATGAATTAGATAATTTACCAAAAAAATTAATTGTAAATTAGATAAAGCGATAGATCTGGTAGATAAAGAGATATATATACTTATCAGGGCATGTTTTTGTTCTACTTACCCAATGGCATAATAGCACTGTTTTGTTGAAAAAATTCACATTGAATTGTACATAATATACATATAGGAATTCCTCCTCATGTTGACACTCATTCTGCCTTTGAAGATGGCATCACTTGTCTTAGCCTTGGTGCAAAGGTAAAGTAATTCCAAAACCAGTCAATATCTTAATTGTATATAATAATTTGCATAACACTGAGGTCCCCAAAACACTGAGGCCTGCTTCTGCAAAATCCTCAACATTTTTGCCAGCACTCCAAAGCATACATTGAAAAGATGAATATTTGCTTATTCATTATATTATGCCTCCAGGTTGCAATGGATTTTCGTCATCCAGATGGACGCCATGTTTCTATTTTACTACCAAGACGAAGTGTTCTTATAATGACAGGAGAATGTAGATATGAATGGACACATGGGTAAGGCGTTGTGCAAAAGTCAAACCTTAAAAAACAATTGCCTCTCGGTATTACTGTATGGTTCAAATAAGATTATGTTCAGATTGGACCACTATTTTCGTGTACCTATTCCATTCGCTCTAACAGTGAATAACATGTTTCTTAGAATAACCCCTCGCAAGTACGATATCGTGAACGAAGATGACCTAATATCTAATAAAAACAGCAGAACTTGGGATTCATTTTCCTCTAGTCAACAATCAACTAATGAAAACTCCAGTACAGGGGATTCGCTTTTCACTACTCACCAATCGTCCAATGAAAAAGACTCCAATACTGGGCATTTACTCTCAAGCACCCAACACCCATCCAATGCAGTGGCACTTCTTCCTCGGGAGGTTAGGTTATCGCTGACTTTCCGCAAAGTGAGACGCACTCCTTGCGATTGTAAATACCCTTCCAGCTGCGATTCACAGGATTTTGGTCGTCAGTCGAATAAGAATGGTAGAGAGAATGTGCTCCCGCAGTCAGAAGAAGACGCTGTGAATTTAGAAAAAGCACATGTACACAACGTTTATGATAATATAGCGGAGCACTTTAGTGGTACTCGTCACAGCCCATGGCCGAAAATTGCCGAGTTCTTGAACAAACAACCACGCGGTTCAATTGTGGCGGATGTGGGGTGTGGAAATGGTAAATATCTTGGTATTAATGATCAGCTGTTGATGTTCGGTTCAGATCGCAGTCAAAATCTCGCGGCGATTTGCAGAGAACGAGGCTATCACGTCGTTGTTTGTGATATTTTATCCCTGCCTTATAGGTAATTAAATTCTGTGATATATTCTTATGATTGGGTATTTAGGCTACGAAGTAAAAGTAAAGAAATTCACGCGTTGCCTGTAGTCAACAGTCTCAACATTCAGCAGTGTTTTAATTGTGAAAAATGTTCGAAGAAAAACGAGTCTATCATGGTCTTGGTTAAAATCATGCTTGAACTAATAAATCTAATAATTAACTAATTAAATACTTAACTAAGTCTAAGAACTAATTAATGTGTTCTAAAATAATGTACAATAGCGCTGCTGTTGTGCAGGAAGTTTTTTCACTTTAAAATATTCCCGTCAAAGCTCGATCGACATATTCTATTCTCGTCTAACTACATGCATTGTGTCTCTTTAAATTGAGAGATTTGCACTCCTTTCAGATCCGATACTTTTGATGTATGTATATGCATCGCTGTCATTCATCATCTTTCCACCATAACCCGTCGCCTGGCTGCCATTAAAGAACTTGCACGAATCATTAGGCCTGGTGGTCGTATATTGATTTCTGTTTGGGCCTTAGAACAGAGCCTTGGGAAAAGAGGAAATCGGGGGGAACGCCCTCATTCGGGAACGTCCACCTCGATTGACGAAAAAGCATACACCCCAGCTGGAGATGATGGACAAGGATTGGAACAGCCTCGAAGTTCTGAAGTCGCATCCGAGGGGATCAACCCCAGTGTGCAAACTACTGGCGGGACATATTCTGTTATAATGTCAGATATGTTAGATAATTATCAACGTACAGTTTATAAAGATAGACATCGTGTAAACTTTGATAGCGAAGATGCATTCAGTATATCAAAATCTATCTGCACGTCAAGCCACGAAATTGACAGATCTTGTCCAAACGACGCGTCAGAAATACCTTCTCCTTCGTCGGTAACATCAATTAGAAACTCTAACTGCCCAAGCACTGCAGTTGAAACATCATCTTGTGGCGACGGGGAAACCCATCCGCAAAGAGAACAAGAATGTGTATCAAATAACGCAACATCTGAAGAAAATTTACTAAAACTGAAAGTAAACGCATCAAGAAACATGTTCGAACAGCAAGATCTATTAATCCCATGGCATTATCATGGGAATAAGAATTCTTCAAAAAATAGCAAAGAATCGTCTTGTACATCAGATAAAGCTGCGGATGAGAAGGATGATCGAAAAGCGAATTCTGCAGTTGAGAGAAAAGTATTTCAGAGATTTTACCACGTTTTTAAAGAACACGAGTTGACAGATGAGTGCAGTAAAATTGGAAATGTCTCTATCGTTCGCAGCTATTATGACAAGGGGAATTGGTGTGTTGAGCTAGAAAAAGTCAGGGATTATTGATTTTTCTATCAGAATCTTGAATTTTGATCCAGAATTTTTCTTACCCTGGAACTGCCACGGCCTATGTTATAGCGGGATTCTATTTTTCTATTTATAATAAATTATGTTTAAATAAAGTGTATTAATTACTATATTAGGTAGCTGGATGAGGACGTAACATGAACATCTCTCAACCTTGTTTTCGTAACTATTGTGTTGATTTCGGCCTGTTTCAGACGTCGAACTTTTCATGCGCCGAACCTAATGCAAATGAACTAAGGTCTTTGTTTATAAGTTCATTTGCATTCGATTGGGCACATGAAAAGTTCGAAGTCTGAAACGGGCCTAAGCTTCAAACAAATTAAGATGCCAACAGTAGCACAAGTATTACAGTCAAGAAAGGTGATACAGCGGATTGCAACGAGTCTCGCTGGCGGAGGGGCCTCACGTTGGCCTTTCTTGCGTTGGAGAAATACGCCATAGACATATGCAAGTTTATTATTTATCTTCCTAAACAGGTGTAAGCAATTATATATGTAAGCATTTCAAGATCTGAATTCACCTTTAAATTTATATAGTCTCACTTTGGTGATTCTTGTCTCCACTCTGCATTGATGGTTTGTGGGATGGATATGGTTTGGGCAATAAATTTAGTCCATAATCATATCACATCACTTTGACACATGATACTGACTTTCAGGTATTGAAATGAGTATATATAGCTACCGCCAGGCAGTGATGTTGTCATTCCAACAATAGCATGTGCGTGTTTTGTTTTATAGAAACCCCACATGTATTCTACAAACAGCTCCTTAACGCTCTGAGTACTGTAAACTCAACAGATAAAGCCAAAAGATCATTGCTTAGGGATTCTTTTACTCGGACTCGCAAAAACAATAGAGGATTTTAAAGAACGTTCACGGCAAAAATCGATTAAAAGCCTGATGAAAACAAAAATTTGTTGGACGCTGGGAGGGCCAACAAGCAAATGCAATAACCCAAGAGTATCCATAGAGTCTAGAGATAAAATTTCGAATGATAGTCATAAACTTTGGTTAATCCAAAACTTTCCAACATATTTATGAAGTTAATTAATAACTCATTATAGCTGAATCAACGAAAGTATTACTTCACAAGATCGAAACGCGCATTCACGCAACGATATAGGTTTTAACTGAGAATGAGAAAAAAATTGGAAACTGCATAGCAGAGCACTGAATGTACAATGTACATACACTGTGTTTTGTAACTTATACTAATAAGTTGTACAAAAATATAACTACCGAGTCTGACGTCTGCTCCATGTTTTCCTTCTTTTACTTTTACTAGCATTAGTTCCACTTAGTGTTTGACTTTGACTCGGCTTCACAAATGTTGGGTTGACGATCGACAAAAATCCAGGCCACATAAAAAGTCCTTTAAATCTATTTAAAAGTATTTGATATGGCACTGAATTACGAACTTGCACGTGCGGTGTTTGTTTCGTGTCTGACACGAGCAACAAATGGTCCGATAAATGATTTTTGTCCGACGATGCCGATGCATTTTGATCCGATGTCTGCTGGTTTTGATCATGTTGAGTGACTTCTAGACGATTAGTCTGCGATTGCAGATCTTTTCTCAATGTCAGTAGTGTCTTAAAAGCATTTAAAGTGGCAGCAGTAGGGGGTAGAGGTGGAATGGCCGGTACTCGAGGTGATTGTGTATCAGTATCCATGATAATTCTTCTAACCTGAAGATATGGGCTATTCATACCCACGCTAGAAACACTACTTGGACTTACGACCACATTTTTAGTAATTGTGTTTAAAGATGAAGTAGATTCTGAAGTAGCGGACGTAGTTTGTTTGATGGCAGAAGTAGGTTCTCTAGCAGCAGGAGTAGTTTCTACAATAGCAGAAATAGGTTTTGCAGTAGCTGAAGTAGTTTTGGCGACATTAGGAATGGGTTCTGCACGATTTTCGGTTGTAACATCCGGCGTTGAACTGGAATCCATTTTTCGCTGGCTCCGTTTAGATTGTCTTGGTGAAGTTTCACCATCAACGTCCTCTGGGCGTCCTTGTTCGTTCTTTTCAACTGTAGATTCAGGCGTCCTCCCACTACTCCTTTCATTCGATGTATTTTTGTTCTTTCGCGATTGACCAGGGGACTCCGAATACTCTCTCTTGCATGCTCTTCTAGGTCTTGTAGAAATCAATCCATGCTGTGAATCAGAGAGAACGTCACTAACCCCCGACAAACCATCTACTTGTTCAGCTAATTCAAAATTTAACCTTTTCTGTTTTTCTGCATCGGAAGGATTATCTCGTGTTCTTTTACGTCTTCTCCTAGAGGCATTTTCGTCAAAAGAATCATTGCCCTTTTTAGTACCTTTACAAGAAGGAGTGTTTGCTGCAGATGACTTTGAACTGCCTGAAGTATTTGCCCCATCATTGTTTTCCTCATCACTACGAACTGCTTCTTGTTTATTTCTACCGTTCGCGTTTCCTTGACCTTGTTTTGTTATAGAGGTAGCACGTTGCGCTGTTGACGAAGGTGTCGTTGCGCTGACAACAGGACTGGGCGTAACTGTTCTAAGAGTAACTGTGTTGTTGTTTGTTTCTACTTCAGTATTAGTGTTGAGCATTTGTTTATCGGCATTGTCGTTATCAGTTATCGTTGTTGTTGTTGGAATAGGTTGGCCAAGAGATGTCACACTAGGAGACTCCGAGTTCGTTTGAGAGGATTTTTCTCCTTTGTTTGCGTTAACATTCTTGAGCGCTCCAGATACATCAACACTAAATGCCTTGAAAAAAAAATTTGATGTTATAATCACAATGAAAATTAAATACCTTTACTAAGATTCTACATTTACGGGGATTTATTTATTCATTTACAAAATTTATACACGGTACCATTTCAACCAGTAAGATAAACACCTACAAACATACATTCAATATGGTAAAATTAAAAAAATTAAAAAACACATGCAAAGTAAAAATGGTTGATTTTCAGATGGCCGTGCATGTGTTAACAAAGTTAATACATGCAATAAAAAAATAACTATAAAGATATTAGTTATTTGTACACAAAATGAGAATAATATATTAAAACGAATGTTGAACTTTAATATAAGAATACGGTGGTTTTCAAACTAACAATGGAGAGTTTCGATCGAGGTAACGCATTTACGGCGAACTTTAAGTGTTTGCAAAAAGCATTTGATTTGAGGGTTTTAAGTCATGTGCATACGGGCCAAGCTTGATATAGATATACATGTATACTATAAGTTGGGACTTACCTGTAGGAGTACTGAAAATTGTGTCAAATGTGATATTGGTATTGCATTTGGCAAGGACGACGCCTGTAATACGACTGATGGATTTGGGGCAGTTAGTTTACATTTGTTTGTCATCTTGCTGGGAGGTTCTGTCCGGGGTTTACTAGGAGATTGTGAAAATTCTTTCCCTGCCCTTGATTTTAAAGACATAGACGTAGTAGGAGGTCTCTTTCTGGTCGTTCTGCCAGGTTCCTTGCTTTCTGGTTCATCTGAACTTATAACATCGGGGGTTTTGGAAGTACCTGCACTTTTTGCCTGCAAAAAGCGTAAAAAGCGACCCTTTTTTACAATTGACAGTGAATGAATTCACATCTAAGGATACGCACATAATACACAAATTGTCGATAAAGTTTAAAAAATTCTAAAAATTCCGACATTATTTTGTCCAAAATTCTCTTCAAAATTTCCCCCTTTTTTTTGACAGATACAATACGCATTGTATTTTGGGGGCTTGTTTGCCGAGTGAAGAACGTTTCAGTATACAAGAACAATTATAATAAGTACCCGTGCATGTATGTATACACATCGAGGTTCCTCTCTGAGGCAAAAAAAAATTTAATTACCTACATATTTTCATACTATAAAAATAGGCCCTTTGTCTCAATAGGCCTCAATGCTTTTTAGGAATATTTAAACTTCAAACCTGAATATTTGTATAGGCACCACCAGATATTTTCTTGCGTTTCTTTCCCCTATTCTTCATTGGCGACGTAGGAGTGGAGTTCTCTTTTGCTTCTTTCTCCTTTCTTTTTATTTTTGTGGTGTCGTCTTGAGAAGCAATGCTAGCGCAGTGGTCAGATGTTGCATCAAGATTAGTTACATCATCAAATGCCGCATCTGTGTTCGCTTCATCAGTAGTTACATCCTCTGCTTTGGTCGGAAGTTGAGAAAGAGATTCGATTTCCTCCTAAACAAAATCATATCCCAAATCTCAGTATAAACGTTATCAGTGACCACGTGTATTTCTCGTTCCTCTAATGCTCGTCGCTGTTTGTTAACGTCATCATGCAAGTCTGGCTTTTAAAGATGAAATAAAGTCTGTTTGTTCTGCGCATCTGTTCCGCTCAAAATAACGAGAAATGTCATAGAGATAAGCAGCAGTGCCGTAAATCATTTAATGTTTTCGAGTATGTATGCATGTCAAACCAACCCTCTACAATCTTCAGAAGTTACTTACGGTTTCGGACAAGTCAAACATATCAAAATCCTACAATAAAAAAGAGGTATAAAAAATTATAAACTCAAAAAACACACGCGAGTTAAGCATGCATCATGCATGCATGAAATGTTAGCAACCTTAAAATGGGAAGCATATATTGGGATGCTATACATATGATCGATTATCGATTATACTCACTTCTGGTCCAATTTCCGGTTTATCAGAACGACGTCGAGAGAAATTATTTACAAGTTTAGCTCGTATGATTTTCTGTTTAATGAAGTGCTCTTTTGTCTACAGTAAAAAATAAATGCATGTAAATATGCGCAAAAAATAGGAAAAAAATATAGGTAACGGATATGCATTAGATACTAACATCACTCCATGCCGCCACAAGGCACGATTCTATAGTAGCAGGGAATTCTGGTATTGGCTAGCTATCATCGATAAATGTTTGATATTAAAATACTGCAACTAAAATTTCCTGCTGGCAGGTCCATTAAATTTGTAGTCAACTTGCTGTCGACGCATTAATTATTGACTCGAACGTCGGTGTACCGTTGAGCTTCATTCGACGTAATCATCGGCGATTAATTATGAATGACACAAACCTTAATACAGTTTAGTCGTATGACAAAAAAGGTGAATTTCCACACTCTGGACATGCGAAATGTCGCTATCAAGTATGAACAACACAAGTCTCAACCCGCCTATGATATTCTCCATGTACGGTATACCAGCAGTGCAAGTAACAAATGCTGTAGGTATTGTTGGAAATCTTCTCTTAATCTTTGCACACATAAAGGATCCATTAAGACTACTAAAGTTCCCATCTTCATTATTTATCTCTAATATTGCGGTCGTTGACCTGCTGCTGTCGTGTGCTCTATTTCTTTTATATACACCAACCGTTAGAGTTGTTCTTAACATAGCGAATACTCTCGTGGCTACGCTCCATTTTCTGGCGTTTATCCTGTATTTAAGCCTGGCGATTGAACGATATTGTTTGGTGGCTTTTCCATTTTGGCATCGAATCAACATTACTTTACCGGTATGCCGTTACTGGATGGCAAGTACATGGCTAGTCAGCGTGATTCCGAGTGTTGGATTGGTTATGAAGGGGATAATGACAGAGCTCGTCATTCCCGTGGAAATAGCCTTTCTGGCAGTCATATGGCTGTTGTTTATCCTAATACAAGGTACCTACATGGCCTCCTATATATCACTTAGGAAACAAAACAACGAACTTCAAAGACGAGAAGATATGAACGAGGTAACGGAAAGGAGATTAAAACTTCGTCTCAAGAGTGAAAACGATTTTCTTTCTACAATCGCAATTGTTTGCTTTGTTCTCGCGGTGACCATTCTGCCATTTTACACCATAGCTAGTATGTATTTTCTGAAGGCCGCAGCAAAGTCAGAGAAAACTTACACAAAGGATCCTCCTTCAAGTTTTTTTTGGAGTATGGTGGGAATCAGCGCCAATTCTGCAATCAACGTTTTCGTATACCTGTGGCGGCTTCCACAGTACCGAAAAACATTTAAAAGTCTTTATTGTCAATGCAGGAAGAGCTAAGGTGAATTTCTCTGTGTGGAAGGCTAGAACAGTGCATGAGATGAGCAAATAAACGTAGGTAAACATTTAACATACGTTTAGAAAATAAATACTAACCCGGAAATTGCATGTGTCATTGCATGATCAAATTTCGACGAATTAATACGTTTTTCGTTTTTTAATTCATCCCTCAAATGAATGCGCGTCAAAATTCTATTTGCTTGCGGAGATGAGATGAGATGACATGACACGAGATGACATGACATGACATGACATAAATGCCTTCCTGAAATTTTACGGATTTGTGGAAGATTTTACAAAATGAAGTTGATGGAGATTGTAGGTTTTTTTGCATAAGCTTACATGATCAACTGCGATGAATTTTCATTCCAACTTGGTTTTATACAAACGCTGTTTGTCCTATTTTTTTCCGTTGTTGTCAATGGCACGAAAAACTGCAAATACCCCCTAAAGTGATATGCTAATGAGAAGGAGATGGAGGTGGATTGGCCATATCTTAAGAAAAGAGGCTGAAGACAGCTCTTCATTGGACTCCAGAAGGGAGACGAAAACGTGGTCGGCCCAAGAACACCTGACGTAGAACAGTCGAGAGTGAAATGACTAACCCTCCACCAGACCTGTGATCAATTTGGACCAGAATGGCCCAAGACAGACGGGAGTGGAGAGCTTTTGTTGCTGCCCTACACGCCAGGAGGCATAAGTAAGTACACCCTACTGTACCTTCGGGTCTTCTTTCATCAGAGAAAACCACCGCCTTCGACATTTATTGTCAGTCCTTCCTGGCATATGTTTTGCAATTGTTGACCAATTCCGAAGTCCTACAAAATTAAGAAGCATGAAGACAATTAAGATTTGAAAGCGTTGAATTTTATTAAGCGCTGGGCTACTTTACTCGCCCATGTAAGATACTGTCAGTGTCCACTTTCAACAGTGTTGGGTGACTTTCTAGACTTTAGAAATCCCATCGCTTTTGTAAGAGAGTTTTCAGTGTGTCCCGTATTTCGTAAGAATCAGTGATAAGAATCTTATAGGATGGGGTTTTCATAGGATCCTTTTGGATTTAGCTGGACTTTTGTGGCTTTCACGGGATTGTTGGGGTCAGGAAATAGATGGTCAGGCCAGTCTCGAAGTACAATGGAAGATTACTCACCGACGCTCTGTTCTCCAACAACTTTAATTAATCTCTCGTCTTCTTCTTTACTGAACGCGCCTTTACGGAGATTGGGATCAAGAACATCCTGCCATCTGAAAAGGCATATAGAAAAATAAGTATTGAAAAGGCATTTGGATGAATGCGGAAACAAATGGAAATTTACAAGTGACGAAAAATGAGATCGAGAAATAAAAGACGGACCTTTCCCGGACTTGAGAATCTGTCCTTCTTGGTAGCAAACTTTTAAACTTGAACCAGTTAAAACCATATAGCTCCACTCCCTTACGTAGCAACTGAAGAAAATGGAGAAATATCACATTGTTAAAAAAACACGTTTGTGTTTCGTAATGCTTCGGACCCGTATACTGTTTATCAATTTAAGACAAACTACAAGACATGAGTCTACACGGGAGAGGACTTTCGAATCAACAATTAAGGAATGCCTTGGCTACAATATTCAAATGTGCTTAAACGGATGCCCAATTCCCCGACCCTCATTTAGCATTGAATCGTACTTAACATGTCGTCTAGACAGCATTGCATCATTTGCATCTCGTCTAGATCAGCATTGCATGCATGTATACTGTGTGAGAGAAAACTGTATATTTTACATGCTAGATCGCATCGCCCTAATCGTAATGTTTCGTTTAGGAAACAATAAAAAGAGAAAGGGGGGGGGGTTGGGTTGAAGGTAAACGCAGCTTTTGTTCGTCCACTGTTAACAGAGCCTGGGTTTCACTAAAACAGCTCTTCCCGCAAGGGTAGCATGCAGAAAACCAGGACATATGGAGGTTCTTGGAAGAGGAAGCGTAGTTTCTAGAGCATTCCAAGCCAACACCTCACAAGACGCAGCAAATTAGTTTATTCCAAATATTGATATTTCGGTAAAAGGCTGCATGGAAAATCAAAAGTTCGACCGTGTGTTTGCATGCGAACAGGATTTGATCTCCCACTTACGTCATCCTCCTCTTTTTCCCACTTTCCCTTCTTGATCTCAGGATCAAGAGATTTAATATAGCGATGCATGCATTGAGGACCAGTACGACCATCAAGAAAACTGGACACTAGAAGAAAAAATACGATGTACTGTTGCTTACAAATATTGTAAATAATTACCGATATAGGCTAGTATAATTACCAATGTTTCTATTTTTAAGTCGATGAGCTGATACCGACACATGATATATATGGGTACATCATACTTTAGTTCTTCATCTAATTAGATTGTTCTAAAGCTACTCTTGTGGCTTGTGCATCTTGTTCTAACCACCCTCGAAGCCCTTTAATGTAGATCATATATTGCATGGCATATTACCTTTTTCCCAAGGACCAACTCCACACGCGTTAACAGCTTCGACCAATTTCTTATCGTCTTCTGGCTCCCACTTGCTATAAAACCGCAAAAATTAAATGCGATCAAAAGCAGGCATTATTTAAACTTCAGCACGCCATTGGACCGGCCGGAAAATACTTTATCGCCAGGGCCGTAGCTAGAAGCTAAATTGGGGGGGTGTATATTCATATACTCGTCTAATGCCCCATTGATTTCTTTTGTACGCTATTGTTCCTACGGTATATAAACATGAATATATGAATATACACCCCCCAGTTAAGCGGGTCTAGCTACGGCCCTGTTTATCGCGATGAGAGTATTCCATGGAGTCAGGCTGTCGAATGACGCCTTTTCTGTACTTTAAAGAGAAAGTGAGCGAACTCCAAAGCAAACTCTTGACTTGCAACCAAGGTTATGGAGAAACGATAGACAGTAACGAGAAATTTCGCTTTAGACTAATCAGCGAATCAAGTGGTTGAATTATTCTACCATAAATTACCTTTTTAAGAAGTTCTTATTCAAGCTTCTTTGATATCTATGCAGGCATTGTGCTGCAGATCTGTTACTCTTAAAATCAATGTAAAAAAGTACAATAGAATCATTCATGATGCTCGCTGTTGTACTATTAGGGAGATATTATTTCTGCAAGGCAAGAAACGAAATGAACGTCTTTTTCCGGGGAAAACGTTCCGATAAAACGAGGCGCTAGTCATCGAAAGATGAATGGGAAACATACCTTAAGTTCAGTAGCGATTTTGTGCCAGTTCCCACCGCAGCTGTTTTCCTCAGCTAATCGCAATAACAACTTATCCTCTTCTTTCTCCCACTTGCCTTTGTTTAAGAGAGGGTGAAGCTCGTTATACCAAAACACTTGGCATTGATGTGGTGTTCGGAAAGGCAGCTGAAAATAGTAGGATTATTCAGTGAAACCGGATGTATATGTCATATAATATATCAAATGTCAATGTATATGTCATATAATATATTAAATGTCAATGTATGCAATTCATATAATTACAAATGTCAATGTATAATATATCAAATGTCAATGTATATGTCATATATGGTGTCTACAGTAAACAGAAATTGAGCTGCGTTGTCACAGGATAAACATACCACTTTATTTGAGATATCGCAGAAGTCAATAGTGTCAGTGAAATCTTGTACCAAGTCAACAATAGAAAGAGCTCTAGATCCCGACAAAGGAAAGACGTTCGAGGTCTTGTATGACAGCTTTGAAAGAAATGTATAAATACGTACTTTAGGCGCTCTATTTCATTTCTCAGATCTTCAATCTCTTTTTGATCTTCTTTCGTTTTTAATAATTTCGGAGTGATGACTTCAAGCCTATTTAAAACATCAGATGTCTTAGTAATCCATCAACATTGGACCAAAATAGCCAATCAACAGACAATGACCAATGGTCCGAAATGCTTGTCGACCGGTCATTAATGAATGATAATTATCTCGGCCCACCGATGATCGACAGCTAAATTTATTAGTAGAGAATCTGTTTCTCTGAAAACATATACACGATTTGGTCACGTTAGTTTGTGACCCTTTATCAGTAATCGGTCACCAGGGTCGAACTCACCTTCGCGGTTTGTTTACATCAGTGTTAACCCGGGTTCGATCCAGGGCGAACCCACCTTCAAAGCAGGGTTGAAACTAACCTGAGTATGCCTACACGTCTTTACCCGGGATAATTTGCGGGGCTTTACAGAGTGGAATTAAAGTAATTCCGAAAAATAAAAGCATAATACAAATTTTATTCTGTGTATTTCGAATCAAGATCGGTTCATCTTCAGCAAAATGGTTTACGTTTACAAGATTTGCGTAACTATAAAGCGTGTACAAATCTTACGCAAAGTTACGCAAATCTTGTAAACGTAAACCATTCTGCTGAAGATGAATCGATCTTGATTCGAAATACACAGAATAAAATTTGTATTATGCTTTCATTTTTCGGAATTACTTTAATTCTATATGTGCTAAAACTATCAGCTAGTAAAGGATTTTACAGAGAGGGTTGAGTAACTATAAATCGGGGGACGGCACATATTTTCTTACTTATATCATCTTCAGTTCCTAAATTTATTGTTAAATACAGATAAAAACTTGCAATATCTAAATCACTTTACAATATTTTCAGCACATCATGTAGTTGAATATATCTTAATGCTGGACTCTAATCCTCACCGCTCTGTGACGTAATTTCGGGATAATTTTAACGGTAACCGTACCTCCTTAACAAGGCATTTGTTTGGTCTGTAATATCTCTGACTTCACAGCATCCGACAGCAAAATTTTATCCTCCTGTGACCTGGAACATGAACGAAACCATCATTTGATAAGTCGGTCTTTAGAGCAAGGAAAGGTTAGTAACAATTTAGCAATTACATAGTCTTGGTGGTGTTTGAAATGTAGGCGGCTGACCAACACTCTTTCGAAGTTTGGTATTTATTGTCCTCAGGACACTACACAAAATAACACATATCATTTTACCATTCTTGCAATTTAATTTCCGTGTTTGTTCAGGCTGGTTTCCAGCCAGGAAACTATCCTCCGAACCGTATTGGACAGACAAGTTTCTTTCATCCTTGTGTTCTCAGCAAAAACTAATTGTCTTAAGGAAAGAAACCATACTGTACGATCCGGCCCGGAGGATGATTTTCCTGACTGGAAACAAGCCCTTACACCTTCAGAAGATCCAGATTGATATCAGGTAATGCAAAGCGAATGCCAAAAAGCAAACCACCTCTAGTTGCATAAGTGGAAGATGTGTACATGCAGCAGCCTCATCCTCATGGTATTCGCTCTGCACCCAATATTTCGCAACAGTGGAGCAAATTTCTTGGAAACAAGGTTAAAGATGTCGTGAAAAAAATTATCAAGCACTTGCAACTGACGTCATAGTTCCTATTTATAGCCTTCCTACAGTGTTGAGTGACGAATTAAAATACAGTTATGCAACGACTTAATTCACTTAAAATTTGTGATACATCATATGGCAAGAGCTTAACAAAAAATTAGATATTTTTTGTGTTCAAACAAAAATTTAGATATTTTTATGTCCATTCCGAAACCTCAGTACAAGTTGGCGATAGGACCACCCAGCTAATGCCATGTATGCATGAACAGTTCTTGTTTCAGTTGTTTGTTTCCGCAAGACCGGTGACTTCGTTAGCCGGGTGACTATATAACAGCATGGTGGTATATAAAGGTGCATATAAACAGGCCTTCGCCCATTTGATATATACTGTTCAACAACAATAATCACCTCTTTGCGTGTTCTAAAATATGGCTTTGCATATGAGGAAAGACTCCTATGGCTATGTTCGGTTTCTTCTGCTTTTGCTGATGAGGAAGAAGACATCCGATCCAATCCAACCTAAAATGCCGGATCTAAAATGAGCTGATTGCAATATAGAGTAAATCTACGAAACGGTTTTATCAGATGGAACCAGAATATTTCAGAGAGCCGGAGTGTCATCTTGTGTAATAAAATACTGTAAAGATCCGGATAATTTAGTGAAAATAAAATGATATTCTTACATTCCAATATAACCAGGGAGCAGCGTAGTAAACAGCTTAGCATCAAAAAGATACTAACTCTCCTGACGAAGGCCCTCGGGTCGAAACGTTGAGAAGTGTTTTTGTCTATTTTAGGCAGTTGTTATACCACATTTGATGCTAGATATTCTTACATGTAAAACACAATTTTTCATAATAAATTTCGTTGCCCAGGGCCCCAGTCTAATTTTACACTCCAAATATTTCCAAATATTTGGCTACAATTTTTTAATTATGTCTTATACACTATGATTTGTCACTGTAGCATAAAGAACATGGTCTTGAGGATAAACAGAAAATCAAACAGAGAATTTTTTTCTTTTTTTAAAACATTCTCTGAGAAAATTTTTGTTTACAAAACACCTTGGCTTAGGACAAAATTTAACTATAAAACATGTCAGCTGCAAATTTTATAAGAATTTCCATTATCTTTAAATATCTAATTTCAAGTGTAGCAGTTACCATAGATCATTTCACTTACTTGTTTCTCTCTGTTTTCTGCAAGTAATTTCTCAATTTTCCTGAGTTGTGCTTCAATAATTGTCTGAAATTAGAGAACAATGGTCAAACTTGTCGATTTATCCACCACAAACTGTACTTATTGCAACAAACTATTAAATATTGTAATTTGCAACTCATACATATGTCATGACCTTAAAATGCACATGGCTGCCCTGGTCTCAAAATCACAAATGCATTGCATAGCCTTAATGTTCTGACCAAGATAATTAAAGTTTGCAGAGCAATTGGCAGGTTGACAGATAATTGAATAAGGTAAAACAATTATTGGCAAAATTTATGCTACATTGACTTCTTCTCTAGATGCCCACAATGACTTTAATTTTTTATTCAGGTTAATGCAAAACATTCCCCAAAAAAGGGGGCTAACCTCTCGTAACAGTATTGTGTGACATACCTGATACTTTCTATTCAGTTTCAAACATCGTTGTTGTTCATTTAACACTTCACAGTCTTCCTCATCACTTAAAACATGTATTTCTTTTGCACCATCACCAACATTATCAAGATTTTCTGCTTCTTTTGAACTGACTAAAGAAGACTGACTATTTCCATAATCATGATGAAGAGATGCCAAACGGCTCTGAAAAATCCCTGAAGATTGACAGCCATCCTTAGCCGGCTGAAGTTCAGTCAAATGATAGTCACCACTATTTTGTTCCTCAAGAAACGGATTAGATTGTTCAGGATTTGGCGATATTTGTATGCTTGGAATATTATGAGCTCTGCTAGCATGGACATTTTCCGAGATGGAATGTGAGTTCTCAGGTACAGAACTAAGGTAATGTTCAGATTCGTCCACTGAATCATTGAGTGGTACTATTGTAGAGACCTCATAACAAGTGTATTCATCTGCAGATAAGTCAGAATCATCTGAAATAGTGATTGCAGTCTTGTAGCTCTTTGTTGTACTTTTGAGAGTCTCATCTTCACTTTCAGATGAAATAACTTCAACAGGGAAAAGCTAAGAAAGAAATTTAGCATAAATGACTGGAGTGAATTTTCAGAATTATATAAATTATACACTTATATAGGCAATAAATATTATTTCTGTTTTATCGAAAAAGAAATTCAATTACGCTTCTTAAGAGTCTTAATTTTTACAAAATTTGTTTATCTTCCTTACTTCGCAAGATATTGGGGATCATCGGATATCGAGATATATCTGCCATCTTGTTTTATAATGAGATCTAATTATGTGACGTCAAAAGCAGGGTTGACACTTCATAAAAACCACTACATGTTAATCACTACATGTTTACGCTTTTAAGTTTAAAACTCAATTTAAATGCTATAATTTGCATGTATGTGCAATTGTAATACCATGAAACTATCACTTTGCTGAATTGTTAACTTTAAGTTACAAAATGAATTTTCACCCAGCTTATGAGGTTATGCATATCCGGCCAAGAATATGCATATCCAAAATGGCAGATGGAAGATTTTCTCATTCGAAAATATCTTAAGATGTAATAAAGTTAACAAAAATCCTTAAACAAATTTTGTAAATATTCATGACATTCTTTTAAAATAGACGAAGATCATTTTTATTGCCTTATCCCTTAATGATGCATTTAATTACCTGTGATTGATATGTTTCTTCAGAAGTTTCTATGTATTCCTGTGATTTGATAATTTCTATGAAAAAGATAAACAAGCTGTTTTCAAATGTAATCTAGCAACTGCTGAAAACATAAAAGAACACATCTTACATTCTGGACCTAATAGTTTTTATCATGGCATACTAACTTTCCTGGCCCTTAAAAGGAAGTGTCAATTTCTTCTTGTATATTTTAATTAGGCAGCTGCTGAACCAAATTTAATGACAAGTTATTTAAAGCAGCCACCATGCTACATCCTGGTCTATCTTGGAAGGCATGTTAAATGGAATAATGCCAATAGCTTACAACTGGCCACTGAATATTAATATTAAGGATGACTTAATTTTGGCCTTCTGGGTAACATAATAGTAATAGTAAAAGTCATATATGCTTATGAAGCATTTTACCCAAATCCAAAATTTTAGATACATATGATAATAAAATCAATTTCCCCGAAAACAACCAAAACAACCGAACTCATCACCATAACTAGTAACCTGGAAACCTGGCTGATGTATCATGTATCGTATGGTATTTTATTATTTTTATTATATATAGTTCAAAAACATCATGGAGAATTGTGGTGTACTTTCATTGTGTACTATTATTACATCGGACTGGAATATATTAATAAAGGTTGTGAATGCGCAGAACGAAGTTTAACACACAAAACTTTACTTTTGTACCTAGTTCGTCTTCGTCAGAATCCCCCTGGCTGTCGCGCACCTCATAACTTGCAAACTCGCTATTAGTGCCTGCTCGAGTCGATGCGCCCCCAAGCGTTTGCCGAATTAACTCTATCTCCTTGACTAAACTTTCCCTGTCAATACCATCTATGTCTGCATCTTGTGCTTCCTCCATAAAGTGAAATCACAGCGCAATGACTGTGAATTATAATATCGCTATGAGATAAGCGAACCTATACGTTGTAAAACGTTGTCAAAAAATCTCCCACATGTGCAAGAACCGAAAATCACAGTTTAAAAATCGACGAATTTTACGCGTATTTTCCGTCGTGGAAAATACGCGAACAAAAATCACTAAATTTTACTAGCACTTTTGGTCACACGTGTGAGTGACATCATAAACAATCCAATGGTGACATTGAACTGTATGTAATCGTTTGTTTACAGTTCAATGGTGAGTGGTGAGTGACCATACAGATTATGAGGAGAAATTGGGGAGCGCACTAATGGGCGGATGTTCACTCATTCGCGATGTCCAAGGCCAAAACAATTCTTTTTAAATAAAAAATTTATACGCAAGTTATAAATTTGCGGTTAATGGAGTAATATGTTCTAGAAGGTCCTATTTCACCCTACATATGGACCATCTCTGGCCTAGCTGTCATAGTTATCGCATGCACTAATTTTAGCCCGGGCAAGGTCAAGGCCTCAATAGAACAAGGCAGTCTTTACCAGGCATGTTAATAGTTATAAAGTCCAAAATCTGAACGAACTCTGGCATCTTAGCATGTGAACAACGTATGCAAACTTGTGTTACGGCCAATCGAATCTCCCCTGACGGTCTTTCCCTTCACGTGGACTTGAACAATGGCCCCCTTTTTTCTGCAAGGATTTTGCCTGCTCCCCATGCATGCATTGGTCATTCGCAAGACCTCAGCCAATGCGTCCACAACGCCGGTCAAATATTTAAAGGTCTCTATCGAAAGGCAGTAATACATATATCTGCGTTTCAAAAGTAACTATAACCAAAAACTACAAAAATAAACCCCACCCACCTCCCCACAGCGAAGGACTGGCCGCTGTGGCATCCGCATGTAAATATACTGATACGTTAAGTTCGTTCATATGTTATCTCTAGATAGTCTATCGATATTCTTCTTGTAACTTGTAATGAATTGCAGCCGGGTGATTAAACAATGGCAGGAAGTGCTGTCCTTCTGGACAACACCTCACCACGTGAAGTGCATTTGTACAGGTCATTTTGGTCGAAAACGCGACCTGATGACCTGACCTAGAGACTCGATGGGTCAGTCAGACAATATTTGAGTCGAGCTGACTGACCTGAACAGGGGTCCGCCTGTTCCCCTGTTATCTAGAGGTCCGCCTGTTCCTCTAGAAAAACCTATAGTTTTTGCATGCTCTGTCGGGTTTTGAGTGCCCTTACTGTCTCAGTATAACTAATGGTGGTCCCTAGATCATCAGGTCTCAACTCACTGAACAACATGCACAGAGCTGGCTCACACCCTCTGCAACTTAGAGGTCCTCCTGTTCCTCTAGGAAAAACTTAGGTTAATTAGAGCCTCTAGACCTTTTTTCGAGCGCTTCCTGCCCAAATTATATGCCACAAAAATGTCTCATTGTGTTGTTCCTTTGCTAAGTTGCCAGACGTTCAAAATCCTTATAAAGAATCTCAACATATAAACTACATTAAGGCTACGGACTACCAGGTTGTAAGGGTAGGTTCGAATCCTGCATGGGAAAGGTTCGATTTTTCCCACCGAAACTACTATTTAATTTAAAATTCATCGAAAAGGGTTAGGTCAAATAGAGAACAATAGCTTTCGACAAATGACGCGGTGGTCTAGTGGTTAAGACGTTGGTCTCTCAATCCGAGGACAAACGTTTCAACTCCTGGCAATGCAACAAAATTAGCCTGAAAAATCTCGCTGTGATTTGGAATGTGTAAAACAGTGAAAAGACTTATCGGACTTTGTGAAAAGACTGTAAATTGAAAAAAAAATGGAAATAAAAAAACCAAAAAAAAATTATCGCGTTCAAAAGTACCTGAAAATTAAAAGAAAAGCACAAGTAAAAAAAGTTTTAAAAACACGTGTCTTCTAAAAAGCCTGAAAATGAAGAAAGTCAGACGGAAAAAATCAAACAATTTCCCGCTTTTAAAAAACTCATGTTTACTTACCTCAATTTTTTTTCACGAAAATTTGACAGGGTGATTTTCTCGAGAGTGAAAAAATTTAATTTTTTTCACTTTTTTGAAATTCTCTTAGATTTTTTTTTCGACGCGGAAGTATTTTGTCTTGGGCTACCTGTGTCAAGCAGACACAGGTTGCCCAAGACAGACACAGGTAGCCCAAGACAAAATACTTCCGCGTCGAAAAAAAAATCTAAGAGAATTTCAAAAAAGTGAAAAAAATTAAATTTTTTCACTCTCAAGAGAATCACCCTGTCAAATTTTCGTGAAAAAAAATTAAATTTGGAAACATGAGTTTTTTAAAAGCGGGAATTTTTATTTTTTTTTCTGACGTTTTTTAATTTTCAGTCTTTTCAGAAATCAGAAGACACATGTTTTTAATTTTTGTTTACTTGCGCTTTTTTTTCATTTTCACGTGCTTTTGAACGCGAGAATTTTTTTTGTTTTCAATTTTTTCAATTTAGAGTCTTTCCTAAAGGTCGAGGAGTCTTTTGAGTCTTTTACAGCTTCCAAATCACACCGAAATTTTTCAAGCTAATTTTTTGCACTGCCAGGAATTGAAACGCCTGTCCCCGGGTTGGAGACCAACGTCGTAACCACTAGACCACCACATCATTTGTCAAAAGCTATTGTTCTCTATTTGAACTAATCCTTTTCGAAGAATCTTAAATTAAATAGTAATTTCGGTGGGAAAAAATTGAACCTTTCCCATGCAGGATTCGAACCTACGCTTACAACCTGGTAGGCCGTAGCCTTAACCACTGGGCCACCGGGATAATGTATATATTGCAAGGTTGGTATTAAGACAAGATGCGGTGGCCGAGTGGTTAAAGGCTACAGCCTACCAGGTTGTAAACGTAGTTTGGATCCGCCCTCCCCAATGACAAAAAGGGAAATGCCCTTGGAAGGGGGTTGCTTGGCAATGCACAAAAAATAGCCTGAAAAATTTCGGCAAGATCAGTTGGAAGCTTTAAAACAGTTAAAAGACTCCTGTGGCTTTAGGAAAGACTGTAAATTGAAAAAAATTATAATTAGAAATAAAAAAAAGAAAAAAATCCTCGCGTTCAAAAGTACTTGAAAATTAAAAAAGGGCAAGTAAAAAAATATTAAAAATATGTGTCTTCTAAAAAAACTAAAAATTAAGCAGTCAGCAAAAAAAGTTTTAAAAATTCCCGCCTTTAAAAGTCTCATGTTTACTTACCTTTTTTTTACCATTTTTTTCACGAAAATTTGACAGGGTCATTTTCTCAAGACTGAAAAAATTCATATTTTTTAACATTTTTGAAATTCTCCTAGATTTTTTTTTGACGCGGAAGTATTCTGTCATTGGCTACTCATGCACCCTACTGTGTCTTGACACAGCTACTATAAACTTGATGTAGCTATATTGATGTCCAAAGAAATGTATGTTTCTAGTTGTTAGTGTAAAACAGAAAATATTTCCCAGATGATAAATCATCAAACGTTAACAAAAGACCAATCAATGAGAGATATATATGATATCTGATATGTTTGTTAGAACTCTTTTGCAGTATACTTAATTCAATGTTAAAGAGACCGTTAAAATTTGGCTCATCTGTAGTTTATATGATTACTGTATTTAACTATATTGGCCCTATATGCAGTACAAGCCATGCAGTAAAACTATTTTTAATTTTTTAGATCTACACTCTAAATCGAAAACAGCGCAATTATATTTTGGTCACTCCGACATCAGATTTTCAGAACCAATTTCTATATTGGCTTAAAACAAACGTGGTTAAAACAGCCAACTTTTTGTTTGTATTAAGTTATAGCATTTATAAGGCTGCTTCGGCACTACAATCCCAAACCTTAGCAAGCAAACTGTATAAAAAGCTCATGTTGTCACAGTTTAAAACCAATTGTGCGAAAACTGATTCAATATGGTAGTGCATGTTATTCACGATATGGACACAGCCCTGCAATCTTATACATTTTTTTCTTCGTATAATATACATCTGCATGCGTGAAATGCAGAACAAAACTATATAGAATTCTATAGAAACTAGTCAATAAACATGCTAAGGCTTGCAATGCTATGCAATCATAATTTAGGTATTTCTTATTTTAGAATAATTTATGCTCATTTTTCCACTGCCCATGCATTACGATTTTAATGTGTTTTTTTATTTATTTTGGTTTTGATTTTGGTTTTAAGTCTTCGTCTGTGGTTGTGTCTTCTTCGATAAAGAGTTGTTGAAGTTTAGAAAGACGATTTAAATCCATCTGCATGAAAAGAACGAAAATAGTAAAATCTCAAACCTGCAATATTTTTTATACATTTTGACACCTGGTTTGTTTATATTCCGTGCCGGCTAAATTGTCCATTTGTCGTTTACCGCAAGTGCAGGAAATCAAGTCATTAAGACTCATAAATACAGAACCCCCCCCCCTTCACCTCCGCATCTCCTTCTTGCTAATCCCTCCCCTCACTGTGATGATCTCATAAACCGCGGGAAAAGGAGGAAACATTGATTCCAATCCAAGAAACTGAGATACAGAATATTATTATATTATAAGCTGAATAGTACAACTGTACAAGCTCCATAGCTTTGGAATCTTAGAAGCCGAGCAGTCATGAATATGCCCCGGGAAAATACGCTTCGAGCTAACCTGTCTCAATCTTGCTAATTCATTTTCAACCTCTTCGAGTTTTCGTTCTCCATCATGAAGTACTTTCAAAATATACTCTGGAATCTCATAACTTCTTATGGCTCGGGACATTTTGTGAAGTTTTTCAGATAGTTGTGGTTCATTGACGATTGCATCCAGGTTTTCTTTTCTTATCTTACAACAGCCTTGACATCGTGCAACACCCATGTGCTCTAGTGCAGTTTTAGCGAAAAATATAATTATACTATAATTATGCATGCATGCATGCCAAAAATATGGTTTTCATCACTCGCAGATTGAGACGGTCGGCGATCTCTGTTATCGCTTGTTACCGATGCATAAAATGCTTTGTCCATGGAAAAAATTCTACTTCAATGGATCGTAGTGCATCGCCGACAAGTCCTTGAGTGATGAAAACCTGGCTTAATAAAGATTTACGCACTGCTGGAGAAATGCCGATAAAATAGGTCGACATCGTTCTGCATTAAAGAACAGTGGCGGATCTATAGGGGTGTGCAGAATAAATTACACAGCTTAATTTTAAATTCAAGACAGCTTAATGACAACGCTATTGGTTATAGATTTTAAAAGAATATTTTTACATTAAAATCTGCCAATGCGATTCCGATTATAAGCTATAGTAATTTATTCTGCACACCCCTAGATCCGCGACTGTTAAAGAATTAGCTCTGATTATAAGCCATAAAAAAACTTTATTCTACTAGTGAAAAATTTCCATTTTGTATTTTGCTGATCAGCATATTCGTTTGCAGAGGAGCTGGATAATTAATCATTGTGCACCCAAAAGTACGTAAGACGGATCATTTAATTTCATATCCTTTGCGTCGAGTCGAGAGGCCACATGACGCACATTCAAAACAAATTATAAAATGTTACCGCAGAAATCTCTTTATCAGTTTGTTTAACTTTATAGTCTAAAACTTCATTGTATATTGAGTTCAAAATACGTTAACAAGATAGCAGACAAATCATCTTTCATCATACATATTTACCTTCCCAAGGGAATGTTTGTTCCATGTTTGAGGTCTGGACCATCATGTACATTATTGCGATGGTGGTGATGAATGATTGGAAAATTAAAACAATTTTGATATTTCTAATTTTTATTATTTTGTTAACTGTTGCCCTGAAAGAGAATAAGAGTCTTTATAGAAGACGAACATTTACAGGACAGGAATTTTTGGCACGGGCCGCTTGAAATTGGGCGTCGTATGTTTTTACTGGTCCTTTTCCAATCGGTTAAATTATAGTTGACATCAAAATTATACACATATTGAGCGTGCAAAGCATGATGGGTTATTTCTCACTGCTTATTTAAAGGAATTAACATGTGAATTTTGCTATAATAACAGCATACGTGTTTAGTGTACGTTCACCTTTTGCATTGCTTTAACTCTAACATCTGCGAATGCTTTAAATAATCAATTATAAATCCCCAAAATGCTTTGCACGCTCGATATGTATATATTACAGTTTCTCCTTTATCGAATTGACTGGTATATGTCTTCATTACATGTTGTTGACCAATAACAAGTAAACAAAGCTATAACCAGACTCGAACTGCAGTCCCCGGTGAACTATGCGAAACTGACAAAAATGACCACAGTACATGTTATAACATAACCCGACAGTCGACTATTTATAGTTTTTTAATTCAATCTTTGCATGTATAGAATTTCAGATTATACGTGATTTAAACATCCATAAACGTCACAAACTTACCTTTGTGAATACATTTTGAATTACTATTTTTCGCCAATCAAACTTCCTTATCAAATTAAGTTAATTTGCAAAAATAAAACACACTACAGATGGTGAACATTTGCCAGTGCACTAGACTAGTGACAATTATCTGATGACACCCTGCATGTATGGGTCAAATTAAAGAATGGAATAATTTATTTCATCATTATATCCACGCGTTCATTGTTTAAATAATCCTATAGGGTTACTGTGTGTATATGAAGCGTGTCTCAAAATCTTTTTCTTTGAATTCAGACTTGTTGAGTTGTGCGTTGCTTTTATTGAATAACAATATTTTCCATGTTAAATTTTGTGTGATTTTACTTTTAAAATGCACCTTTTTACTTTTTAAGAGGCACCCTATTGTACTAATTTGAGTTGTGTGTTGCTCTTGGGGATTTTAAAAGGACGCGGCAATCCTATGTATGTATTTACATTTGTTGAAGGTGTGCGTTGTTTTCCATGTGTGCCAAGGTGTGCCAATATTTTCCATGTTAAATTCTGTGTGGTTTTCAAAGAACGAGGCAAAGCATTTCATTTCATCTGCTATACGCCGGCGCGTTCCATGGAAGAGGAGATATACAGGGTGTCCTAAAAAAACCGAAAACTATTGAAATCACCCATAACAATGTAATTGTTAGAGTTTGAATGCCTAAGCACTCTGTTGGGACCCACAAGTGTGTAAATGTTTGCCATAAGCATTTTTATGCATGCATATGATGCAGTAAAATTTGCTCGTACGCGAAAATGATATTTATTAACAATATTTAAATGTGCATCTCAATCACCATGACCTTCGACATGTCCCCTTTCTGTAGTAACACAAAGCATTTAGCATTTTACCGAGTTGCATTAAATCCTCACGGGCTAAAATTCGTGAACACGGCATTCAAATTTTAACAATGAGTGATTTCAATAGTTTTCTTTTTTTTGGGACACCCTGTACAGGGCCGTAGCTAGCCCGCTTAATTGGACGGGGGCTGGGGGTGTATATTCATATATTCATGTTTACCTAACACAGGAGCAATAGCGTACAATGCCACTACAATGGTACGGGTCGAACGAAGTCGGCGGAATCGATGACGCATTCTGCACTTGTACGGGTCAAATCAACTCGTAATATTTGACAAATCGTACGGGTCGATCAGACACTCATTCAATTCAACCAATTTTACGAGTCGTACCGGTCGTGTCTGTTTAACAGTATTGGACATGCATGTGTGCAAATATATATCATTCCAGTTAGACATTTACAGTTTATTTCAAGACACTGTTGTATAAAGAGTTTGGTCTAGCTGGTTCGTCGAATATAAAATACGCTGAGAAAAACGAAGTTCAGTTCAAAGGGGGCGATTTCAGCCAAACGCGATAGCAAACATGCAGAAGGGTCTGGGGTAAAAATTCAAACGAGTGAATCAGTTTTTCCAGTTGCATACCGCCGAAGCATTCGGGTATGCCGAAGTATTGATTGAATCAATTCCTCCAGGTATAAGAATGTAGTGCACGGAGGACAAGTAGTGTTGTATAGCTATGCTGAAGGTGATACGAAAACTTTCTCGTTCTCTATAACCAGTCCGACCATCTTCGTGGCAAAATGGAAAAAAAAGTTATAGTTTGATGATACTTCCAGTGAAATTAAAAAACTTTTACTTTTTCTTCTTGTGCAATTCTGATCGACATACAGTTGAAAAAAAACAAGCAAACTGACAACCTGAGATGTTATTAATCAATGCCAATTGCCAAATAACAAAAATCATCAAATCAACTATAATAAAAACTAAAAGGTTTTCGAAAATGCCAGTATAGTAAATCTAAGTTAATGCTTGTTCACCTATTTTAATGAATAAGTATAGATATATTAGAATATATAAAGATATATTCGACATTATGTATGAATACTGTTTGGCAACCATTTTGGAAGGAGGTATGGATAGGATAACTTCCCATCTGCCAACCTCTCCTTATTTCGTTGAGTAATTTTGTCATTCACCTCTCCTATAAGTCGCTCGTGGTATTTTTTCACAACAGCTTTAGCACGGTCATCTTTGAGATGATCGCCATAATCAAAGATAGTATCGTATCGGATCGATCCTAAGGTCATGAACAGCGAGATTTGCTCCTATAAAGTTGTAAAACATTACTGATTAGTTTGGCAATTTGAAATTGCTAGCATTAATTAAGCAAGCGTCGTTATAAAAACTGATCAAGAGCAAACTCGATTCTGGATGCTCATTGGCCTAAATTATTAACTATGACAAAAAACAAATCGCATTGTATAATATAATAAAATGCGACAATTTCGTGGAGAGACGTCGGAACGGTAAGGGGTAGATTTAAATCTTTATAAGATTTTTTCAATTATTTTTCATGCTAACTCTCCTGACGAAACGTCGAGAAGTGTTTTGTCTATTATGCAGTTGTTATACTACATTTGATGCTAAGATATAGAATGTAATCTTTTAGAGTGAAAGGCATAAGGCCCCTCTTCGGTTAGCTGCCCCTGCAGCCGCCTCTCTTTTCCGGCATCTCTGATTTTGTGTTGCCATTTTTGTAGACACAGTACACATAATTTGACATTTCCATGCAGTTTTCACATGAGTAATACAGTTTTATTGTGTAGCAACAAGAAGATGAAAAAATCGTACCGTAGCTACATGCGATTGTGGCAATCGGTCAAACCCAAACTCTTGATATGGGACACGTGGATCGTCGTAAAGTTTTGAGGGCATATTTGGAACAAACCCTCCATAATACGCCACAGGATAGTTAACAGCGTGGTGTTGGATAGGGATGAAAACAATTCGAGTAATGACATCGATAAGTTCAGCAACCGTTTGGATTTTTACTGGGAACTCCTTAATCTAAATCATAACGAACAAGCAATGTAAACAGTTTTAACGAGAAATAAATATGAAAGCTGCAGGTGAAACAGTTTAAATTACTCATGGCGGTCTGATTTATCACATGGGACATTTTATGATCACATGCATGGGCAGTGTTTTAGTTCAAGACGCTTGAAAAAATACATCTTACCATTCCGTTTCCACACTCTGTTCCCGTGCCATCTGCTGACAAATGGTTTGCAAAATTACTCAGCTCAAAGTCATCTGTCACATCTTTGTCAGTATGATAATATCTAACAAATAATATAGATTTTCCCTTTTCAGAATAGTCGCCTTTGTTCCGATATTTCATATAGTTCGAATTGGGGTCGTCATGACTGGAAATAAAAAATTGACCACTTACAATTTTACATATTCCTTTGCTATACCTTCGACCTGTTCGAAGATAAGCATTCCGTCGTCTCTGTAGGGGAAATAAGGTAAGACATTCACGTCGTCAACGCCACGCCTCTAAAAAAATTATTTCGTAGGAACAATTAGCTGATACAACATATGTGACACGTATTCACTCATCTGTATTATTATTACCTTGAGGTTCTTCTTAAACTCCGTGTCCTTCCACGTTGAATACTTATAACCCTCGTTAAGAAACTCTATTGCACCAACGTGCCCAACAGCAAACAATTTATGCAAAAATTCACCCTCGTCCAAGAGAGCCTTTATTCCAAGACTGTTTGTGACAAACAAGCCTCGACAATGCCACTTGAGTAATTGAAACAGAGGATGATACTTCGATACAGTACATCTCAAGATTACACAGATCGGTTCCATGACGAGGTGAGTCTTCAACAAGTGTTCAATAAGTTGAGAATAAAGGATGTCCGCATTTTGAAATTCTTGCTTCGCCATCAACCACTTTAAGCCATCAACGGGGGAAAATACAGGAGCATCTAAAGTGACATAATAAATTAGAGATTAGAAAATTAATAACCCACAACTTGACATCATAGCTGAATGTCGTTTTAATATATATATATTACGAGTTTTTCATGGGTTTACCTGAACGTAGGTCAGTTTGGATCGCTACAGGTTTTAATCCGTTTGCAGTTGAAACAAACACGCATAATGGACTCCGTGATCCTCTCATTTCTCGCCTATCTGTGGTATTTCGTTCTGTATAATCCTCCACATTAGTGAGATCAAAAAGCAATTCGTAGTCGATTATGAATACTTTTCCAGTACTGATCATCTGAAGTGGTATAAAGAGGCAACTGAAGCTATTACTGACTCAGTTATGAGAATACGTGGATGCATGTGTATATAGGTATAGATTAAGCCTAGTCTCTAATTTTCCCTATTATTATAGAAATATCATAGAAATTATCCTATTGTTTCAATTTGTATGCCTCAACGTTTCGCTAATAAATAGATGCATGATCAGCTTCTTGAATTTTAAATTCTAAATTTTAAATTTTAAAACTCCTATTACAACAAAAGTGAAATCATGGCTGATCTGACAAAACACAGTCTTTGTGTAGTATAAACAGTTTAATTTCATTAAATTTCCTTGTGCGTAATCACGCTCGTTTAAGAGAGGTTTATAAAAAACAATGACAATTTCTATAGTGTCGTTTTTTGGGACACACTGTAGGCCTTATACTCAATGCATGACCATCAGATGGTAGACAATGCATGGCAAAGTCCATCTGATGGTAGACAATGGTAGTGTCCATATGATGGTAGAGAATGGTAATGTCTACTGATGGTAGACAATGGTAATGACTACTTGTCGTAGACAATGGTAATGCCTGTACTGATGGTAGGACAATGGTAATGACTACCGATGACAAAGGTAATGTCTATAGCTACTGATGATAGACAATGGTAATGTCTATCTAATGGTAGACAATGGTAATGTACATCTGATGGTGAATGGTAGACTCATTGGTGAAAATGGACAGGTACCTTGGGTATTATCAATTTACATTGCATGTTATAAATAAATTGCATGTAGCTATATGTTATCATATTTAAACAGTGTTGTCAGTTATGTATCGAACTGCATGTTCAATCAAGGTTTCGTCGCAAAGTTCCTCAAGCAAAACCGTTTTCTATTTAATATTTTCTGCCATTGATATAAAGTTTACCTCTTTAAACGAGAGTTCTTGTCCCGATGCTCGCTGCATTGCTGCGTCCCAGTCGTACGTTTTGTTGAAGTGATTTTTGTTAAAATCTAAAACGCACATTTAAAATTAGGTCCAGTTTATTCGTCGCATTTTTCGCGGCAAATGCAATGATACGTATCCTACCTTCCATCGTCATTTTTCTTAGAGACATTGTGTTTAAGCCCGCCAAACGCTGCATAGCGAACACATCGTCATTTTGCCAATCATTATGTTGAATGATATCTTTAAACGGTAATTCTTGAGAAGGATACCTCATGTATTGCTCCATGGAAATAAAATCGAAGGTTTTACCCGGCTGTAAATACAACACAGAAAAAAGATTCGAGGGAAAATTAGAAACTAATAATTTTGACTATTATGTATTAAGTAGTGAAAAAAGAAGCGAAAACATACAGTAGCAAGAACCGGGTTATCTGCAATGGCAGGAACCGACTGCATGAGACACTATAGTCGTCGAAATAATCCATTTCTCTCTTATTTCTTAAAACAACTGAAACTGTTATGGGTATATGTGCTGTGTATTTTAAATGTGATCGGTTCATTCGCAGTCACATGACTTAAATAAAGGCAATGTTTCCCGCCAGGGAAACCCGCTTTTTTGCGGTTTCAAACTTACGTCGCAGCTATTCAGCATAGCCTATATTATAGTTTTGATAACAAACCAAGAATAAAATTGGGTGGGATTAGTTTTATAAAAAAAATATAATAGGTTTCTATATTTCGACAACTTTCTGAGCGCCGATTGGCTAAAATATGGACAAGGGATCACCTGAAAATAACTGTATTATAGCAAGCGTTCAATTAAGGCTTCCCGAATTTTAGTCCTAGGATAACTCGAAATAAGTTACGTAATTTTTCTACAGATACAATAGTCAGGGAGCTGGTTTCACTATGCATTAATAATCAGATTGAGTGCATTGTGGTCAGGTTAATTCAAATGTTTGATCAATTTGTTTCGTTGCTTATGAATGAACAAATATTTACTGCAAAGCACAAAACAATATGGTATATAAGCTGAGAAGCCGACTAAGCTGAGAAGAACGATATCATAATATATAATAGCACCGATAATAAAAAAATAACATCGTTTGAAATGTCTTTAGCTACTTTATGAGATGAATCCATAAAATAATATTTCATCTTAAAAGCTTACCAAAAAGGGGATTTTAAGAGACACGAGAGGCTGAGGTTGTACTTTGAGATATTCTTTAAATAATTTATCGTAGTCCGAATACGTTGTAAACTCCGGAAGAGTTTTCTTTGTTTCCTCCGCCATCTTCTCATTTCTTTTAGCCATTCCAAGATAGCGTATCACCCAGCCACTTTCATCGGAAGAAGTAATGCTGCGTAACAACACATTGACTGATGGTTGGTCCAGTAATGGAAATGGTACTGCCTCGAGGAGGTTTTTAGTCTGATTAGGATAGGACAGTGGTTCATCCAGAGGTTTAGTCAGCTTGTAAAACCTTTTCTGCAATCCTAGGTTGATTTTACGTTTTGGCGCACAGGTAAGCCTCAGCGGAAATTTCTGCACGTCCTGTGGCAGGGCAATACATGTTCCTAAAAATAAAAAATAGATAGGTAGCTGCATGGCTGTGTTGGGTTCAGAGGAGAAAAAATAACCGCAAAAACGTTGGAATCCAGCTCCCAAGACCTCGAAAGTCAACCGATGGAGACGTGTATAGAAAACTATAAATTTGACCCTAATAAATAAATTATATAAGTAATATAATGGATAATTTCGCTACTAAACTAACTTGAAAACAAGGAATATTCACCCAGAAAGGGAAACCTGGAGAGAGCATCTCAATTTCAAAAGGTTTGAAAAATATAGCCGTATATACAAAGTTGGCAATTTTTCAGTTAAAACGCTTTTTAGTGCGTATAATATACATTATACAAATCTAGACTAGTGCATATATGGCATGCATTGGAAATGTGAGATTTTCCCGTTTGCTTCTCCAAAACATCCATTTAGAACCGAGTGAAAGTGTGAAACTTAGTTCAGTTCTTTAAAGATTTTATGTGTATATAGAATAAGGCGACTGCTTTGTACGTCAAATTCAATTGCAGGTGTCAAATGCATGCAGTTCCAACAATTGCTGGAAATATTAAATGTTAAATCTTTATAGGCAGGGCGCAGCAGATGCCTATTTTGTATTCGGTAAATTAATATTTCCAAAGTCAATTTCTGTTGGAGATTGACAAAAAATTACCGTAGTCAGTACTCAGTAGCTCAGTATTTAATCAAGGAATATAAATGCACATCTGGTGAAATCTATACATGCATCTGCGGTAATGATGGCCATATGTGCTAACGAAATTTACCACATTGAAACTTAACTAAAGAAATCGTACTTTTAATACATCCAAGTTTGGTTTTATGTGTCCAGCCAGGACAACAGTCTTCATAATAACCACTGGGTGTGGGCTTGAGCCAACCAAACAGTCTCTTGCACTCTCTAAACACAAATTATAACATGTCGCTCTTTGAATCCATGTCTTTCTATAACTTGCATGAGTAAGTGTTTTACACACTTTTCGATTAGTTGAATGCATTATTGTATTATTTCGGCACATGCATGCTCGACCTGATTTTTATTTCTATCACGACATATGAGAACATTAAAAAAGTTTAAAATCTCGTTATACATCCAAAGTTTTGGAAATAACTTTTCTGCTTTTGCCTATCTTTCTTCTTAACTTCGCTATAATTTCATAAAAATTGCAATCATTACATTGTTTCCATATCTCCCCCCGTCTGCGGGGAAAAAGCATGTCAGAGGCCCGGGATTTAAAAGTGTTTTTAAGGAAGTGCTGGCTTACTGATACGCATCCCCTCACCGGCAACATCTGAGCCAATCCAATTGTTTTTTTTTGTTAATAACAATTAACTTCATGCATGGTCTCCTTATTCCTTCACACTTTTCATGGTACAAAAAATGCCAGGGGAGTGTTTGTCTGTTTTTCAGTTTTTTCACTGCATGTGAAGATAATTAATACGATTTATGACACAAAGGTGACCAATTAGCTTTTATTTTTTTCTACTTAAATAATTCAAACCCACCTCTTATTGCCACTGCACAATTCGGAACGTTTCGCAAAAGCCGTGTTAATTGTTGAATCCTCTATTTTGTAGCGGCAAAGATTTTTAATTCCGAAGCATCTGCAGGACAATTTGAAACTACATTTCAATACAGTACAACAGTTAGAACGCTTCTCATCAATCATTTTTTAGTCATGACTAGTCTGTATTATAGACCGTGTTCATTCTGCTGGAAACGGTGACTGCATGGAATGTACTGCATGTTGATACTCTGAACACCTCCACTTTCCAGGCCCTTTTCCTGCTTAAACAGCGAAATGCAGCATATCATGTTTTGGTGAATTCGACAAATACGTCAGAGAGAGCTAGCATTAGAGTCTTTAAGATTGAAGTTAACGGCAAACCGGTGACTGGAAGCGGAAAAAATTAAGTCACATTTAAAAGTAAACCCTATATTCAGCCGGTTTTTAACTGCAGCTTAGTTAACATTTCATGTTTCAATTTTCACGGTCAAGATTTCCCAACATCGAGACAGCTAATTGTTAAATGAGGAATGCGAAACTTAATCTGTGGTTTGCGGTTCGCCGTGAACGTCAATCTTTAAAGTACCCGTATTGACTGTTCTCCAATACGGCGGAACTCTTTTAAGCGGGAAAGTCTGCCAAATCTCAATTTGACAAAAACCATACACATCAATCAATCAATATACATTCGGCAGTGAAGCGCGTAAAGATGTTGTTATACTATGAAATTTTCCTTGCAACTTGCAATGCAATTATAATTTTGTGAGATGTTAATTTGCAAAGAGTGTTCGAGATGTTATAAGAAAACGTTAGCAGAGTAGGAGAAATGTTCGTGTTAGTCAACTTTGGATGTTTCAGAAGTAGAATTGCATTGCAAATTGCAAGGAAGGTTGCTTAGTGTAGCAGAGCGTTAAGGTTCTTAAATGACAGTATGACACATCTTCTAACATGAAACAACATGATCGCTAATGCACTCACATGCGGTTCAAGTTTCCTGATGCGAGTGTTGGAAGAAAGTAAACTATTGTTGGGAATTGCGTTAGATTATACTGTCATTAGTATGATAACATCAAACACACGTCAAATTTTGGTACATTTTTCTACGAATAAATTCTTGAAAATGTAATATAAGTTTATTTGCTTCACTCTATCCGACATAAATATCCGCCCACCCAAGACACGCGCTGGTCTTATGTAGCCTGCTCATGTAATTTTTCATCAGTATATTTTTTCAAGAAACCATGTAGAGTTGAGTGTTTCAACAGGCCTGCTTTGTCGCAAGGCACACCTTCCTGTTATAATGAGTCTACATAGTTACTTTCAATAGTATGTTGGAGATGAAGAAGGTTTGGACTTTGGAAGTCCAAAGTTTAATTGCTTCAGAGTTTCCTTAATGATTCATAAGTTTGTAATAGCAATTATTATTAATATTATATTATATTACAGTATATTATATTACATTTAGCTATAAGCATGCTGTTTCATTCTCGCATCGTGCAGTAGCAGACTGATATGCGCGGCATGGTATGACGATGCAAAAATCCATTGAATACAGGCGTTATCGCTTTCACTGAAATTATGTTACCTCAAAATCAATTTAAAATAAAACTTACATTTGTCCGGTCAAACAAACTGAGAAGAAAACTAGTAATAAAAAGCGACCCATGGTTGATGTATACATATGCCGTCAACCTTTTCGTTTTATTTAGTGTTTATGCTTTCTTTCGTTCGACCAGGATGCAAATGTGGTGATAAAAATAAAACACGATCTTTATATACACTGTCTCTCGGTGCTAACTACGCGAACTAATTTCCCCTGTCTTTTGTCACGAAGTTAAGATCCCCTATCCTTCAACTAAAGAGCTTTGTCTAATTCCAATGATTTGACGTAAATTTCTTTAGAATTTCATTGTTTTCACAGTCGATGAACACCAAAATATTAGCATAGCGGGACAAATGGTCAGGCTGGCTACGCTACTCTGATAAAAGCGCTTTTTCTCCTTTGGATACGCGTTCCTAGCAGTTTAACCCATGCAATTAAACAGGAATTTCTCGAAGCTTTGTGTGTCAGTAACCGGAACGATGTTTTAAACAATTTGGAATTGGATTCGGCTTTTGCATGATATCAAAAGAAATATTCAGACCAAGGTCAATGTTATCTGCATGCCGAAGTGAAGCGGAGGCGGACAACCTTAACCGAGGTCGGAATAATTCTTGATATCATGAAATTACGTTATAAATGACGCGAATAACACGCGAACGACAATATACACACGAAATGTTATGACATGAATATATTTTAGTAATTTCATCACGACCGAGTACTCGTGGACAATCTTGTGTTCCAGTTAGACTAAGCTCACAAAAGGATTTGGTGAGTTATTAGAACGCGTTGTTATATGGAGTGTGTCAGGGGCGGGCGAGCGAGCGCTTTCCTTGATGTGGCATCCACGATCATGACCCTATGAAAGAGCTTTAAGGTTGCCGCATTCTTAGAGAAGTCTCCACTCAAAATTAAGAAGTTGTCACTCGCAAGAATGAAATCATAAGCGCTAGCACAAGTATCTCAGTGCGATGCACTTCGGTTGAGAAACACCATAAAAGTGTTGTAGACTCGAATAATTTCTATTATAATAATTTACAAACCATTGCAGATAAACAAGATTTTGCTGATATACTAAAGGCAATTTTGGCTAACGTGTTGACTGGGTAGGAAATTTGATGTAAGCCTCATTAAGCTTCATTGCCATCTCATTATATCTATAAACAATAATTATATTTTGGTTTAATACAGGGTGTCTCAAGGCTGAAAAACGCAACCACTTAAATATGCTGAACATTAATACAGTTCTAAAGCGCAATACAGGGTGTATCAAAAAAAGGAGACCTTTAGAAATCAAGCTATTGTTAAAATTTGAATGCTTTTTCAATTGCATTTGCACATATGCTAAACCATAGTGCGTGAAATATTGATGGCATGCATGCATACATTAGAAAAAGGAGACCTTTAGAAAATGAATTGACGTTTGTACACAAGATTGTCTGCTCCTGGGAATTTGAAAATAACTTTAATAGCATAAGGAAAAATAACGACCCAAAAATATTCAAATGACTAAGCACAAACGACTAAGCACAAAAGCGATAACAGTATGCGTGGTAAATTGCTTTAGCTGTTCCTTCAAAACATGAACAAATCATTTGTTCATTAATTTTTAACACTGCGTGCGAGCATTAGGGCTGTTCACATCAGTTAGAATTGACTTTGAATCCGGAATGGCTCAGCATCCCATTTTACAAACTCTGCCTATTAAAATCTTTACATGAGTCAGGAATGAATTACAACTTGATCTGACACAGATTCATTTAACATTTCGATCCGGATTGAAAATTGCTGATAAATTGAACATCAAAAGAACTGAATGTCATGGACCATGACCTCCAACGTGGCCTCCATTTCTCTCAACACAAACTACCGTACGCTTGTGCATATCGCGAACTGCTTTTCTGATGACGGCAGGCTGGGTATAAGTTACGACTACAAAAACTCTTTGCTCCGAAGTCAGTTGAACCATTTTTGTTCTGGTAGTGTGCTTAGTCATTTGAATATTTTTGGGTCATTATTTTCCTTATGCTGTTAAAGTTATTTTCAAATTCCCAGGAGCAGACAATCTTGTGTACAAATGTCAATTCATTTTCTAATGTATGCATGCATGCCATCAATATTTCACGCACTACGGTTCAGCATATGTGCAAATGCAATTGAAAAGGCATTCAAATTTTAACAATAGCTTGATTTCTAAAGGTCTCCTTTTTTTTGATACACCCTGTAGATACGCACCTCTGGGAATTGAATTAATCCTTCATTTAAAATGCTAAAAGTCATTTTAGCTGAACTATGGTGCAAACCCGAACAACATTAATATTCTTGCATATTTGTGTTTTTTTTAGACACCCTGTAGTATTGAGTATATAATATTTACAACTATTTCCATTATCTCTCATTATCTATTGTTTGAATTGCATTCGACGCCACCTAAACACAAATTAAGAAGATAACTCACGACAGAAAAACTACTCGCTTTGAAGGCTTTCTTTTGACTTGAATTGGACCGACTTTGCGTTTATAGGAATAATAGGATTCACAGTATAAGGTTCACAGTTTAATTAAAAGGAAAATTCTGTATATGGGAGTATGAGTAGACTCGGAGTAGACTATGACGACCATGAGACAGATGAGGTCGGCACAAGAGAAGGGTTGTATAGTATCTCGCTGAAAAGTCGACCAGATTGCGAGAGGGACTTTTGCGAGATCATTAATAAAAAGGGTTTAATCTTAAATGATAATTGACTTTGCGTACATGATTATACTCAAGATTTGTTTGCGTTCTTCGCGTTGCGCATCTTCCGCCGATTTCATGGTCGGTGACCATCTATTTCCTCTGGCGCACGCAAACACCTTTTTAAATGAACTTAAACAAAGACTTTAGCTTAAAATTAACATTAGGTTTCTGTACATGAAAAGTTCGGGCCTGAAGCTACGTCCGGATCAGGAACCAAAAAAGCTAATTTTTCGGCTTTCCCTGTAACTCAGAGTAGCACAATACCGGCACAATATTAATTCACACATGTCCACGATCATGACCCTATGAAATAGTTTATGTTTAAGTTTGCCGCATACTCAGAGAAGAACAAGAGTAGATACTCAAAATTAAGAAGTTGTCACTCGCAAGGCTGAATAGACATTTCGCCTTTTAGCTTTCAAGCGCGCAGTGCGTGACGGTAGTTGATTATCAAGCAACTTTGAATTGCGATACCGCTCTGCTTAGAAGCGATTTTGTTTGTAAGAAAACCTTGCCGATTTTTTTTGCATCTTGTTAAACTAAGGGCTTGTTTACATGGAGCGAGTTATCCCGGCTGGGCGAGGTGAAAACTGCATATAATAATAAAGAGACTAATCAGGTTAAGCCTTTGATGTGATGCGCTTTTTACCTCGCCTGGCTGAGATAATTCGCTCCTATATACACGGCGAAATCACAACTCAAATTGACCTTGATAATCAACTACCGTCAAATATTTTCACAGGACAGCGTGACGGTCATTACCACTGGTCATTCATTACTTTTGAAGTGCAATTTCATATGTCGTCGACGTGCTGACGAAGACTGTAATTAAAAAAGATATAGGATTTCCGTTACTTCACAATGCTTGAACACAACGTAATTTGTTGGACCAGTAAGCAATGATTTCCCCTTACGGTCTTATTTGTACAATCAACAAAATTGCTGGTATACAGTATATACAGTTCATTATATAGCATTTCACTACACCAGTTCTGTAACATCAATATGTAGCTATCTGTTTCAAAGTGCACCATATAGTCATTACTACAAACATAGCTGCAAAGCTTCCGTTCTGTTTAATAACCCGGGCCTTCATCAGTACGAATACATCAGGACAAGTCGTGATGGTATCATGGTAAAAGTTTTGAAAGTTAACTGCACTGACATGATGAACTCTCGAACTGAATGATTAATGTACTGTACCCCGATAATTTAGTTACTGCCGAAACTTCCTTGTGTGAAATAATAATACAATTTTTGTTCGCCCCAGAAATCTATATCCAGTCCACAAAAAAGGGATGTCAAGGCAAAAATGGAAAAAAATCATCGTTTGAAACTCGTTGAACAAACGATAACGCTTCTAAAATTATGCGTAATTATTGCAGCTGAGTTGAATGCGAAAACTTGTATGAGGAAATACTTAACTGAAGTACCTTACTGGCGCAAATGAAGATACAGAAGTAGACGCAGAATAATTAATATTGCATGTCTGCCTGCTTGTCTAAGTAAATCGGTTAGTATAACTTCTAACGAATATAGTGTACAGAAATTCATCAAAGTATGATTTTATGTCATCAAATGTATATTGTTTTCATGAAAGAATGTCATTTTACTAAGTTTAGAAACATTTCATTTTTTTACAGTATATGTATATACTAACTTACTAAAAGTTAATTCAGTGATATTTATTGAAATAGAGAATGACGTAGGCCGATCAGCGTTTTCCCAAGCAGTGTTTTTATTCACTATTGTATAACGTGTGGTTTAGACTTTTGATTTATATAATTTGATGTTATTCTTTGGATGCTCAGTTTTGCTCAGCTTTTTCTCTTCTTGCCTTTTCTTCCGCAATCATTTCTTCACTGATGCCAAGGTCTTCGTTCTGTTCTTGATTCCTTTCATAGTGAACAATCTTCATGTTTGGGTCGTCTTCCGGCGCATAAACATTCTGCAGAATAATAACTGATTATTGACCGAGCGCGAGGTCTGTATTGTGAAATATCAGACCGAGGCTTTTATGGACATGCAAAAACCTCGGTCTGATATTTCACAGTACAGATCAAACAAGCGAGGTCAAAAATCTGTTTATTTTATAGCTGAACTGCACGAGACCACGGTCCGGATACGGGTTTTTACGGACCGCTCGTCAACCAATCAGGATATAGTATTTTAAAAAGCCATATAATAAATTAACATATACGACGGATTGCATCTTCTTTCTTTTTTTATTATATTCGTTTTGAATCCACTCGTGCTCCCTGCAGTCTGATTGGTTTGCGGTTTGTAATCACGATCATTAAGGTGTGATTTTCAACCAGTTGGTGAAATTTTCGCGCAAAAAAATTTTACACATGCGTCATAAACGACCAATAATATATTGCGAGAGAGAATTTCGTTTGGCCTGTGAGTTCATAAAAGCGGCAAAATGAAAGAAAAACTCGATTGCAATTACTCGCGTTTTGCAAT